TTGTCTGTCTGTCGTTCGCCATTTGCTTTCGTTATGTCATTAGTTCTGTATTTGTTTCTTTCTTTACTTCTGTCTTTCTTTCTTTCTGTCTGTCTGTCTGTTTGTCTGTCTGTCGTTCTCCTTGTTCCTTCGTTATGTCATTAGTTCTTTATTTCTTTCATTTACTTCTTTCTTTCTGTCTGTCTTTCTGTCTTTCTTTCTTTCATTATTTCTTTCTTTCCTTCTTTCTTTATTTCCGTCTTTCTGTCTTTCTTTCTTTCTGTCTTTGTTGCTTTGCTTTCTTTCTTTATGTCTGTCTTTCTTTCTTTCCGTCTTTATGTCTTTCTTTCTGTCTTTCTTTCTTTTCTTGTATTTTCTTTCTTTCTCTCTTTCTCTCTTTGTCTCCTTCTCTTTTTCTCTTTTTTCTCTGTCTTTTGTTCTTTATCTTTCTTTTTCTCGCTACCTTTCTTTTTGTCTTGCTCGTGTTCTTTCTCTTCCTCTTCCGCTGTTCTTCTGTATTATTCTCTTCGTTCTCTTTCTCTTTCTCTTTCTCTCTCCTTTTAGGAACACAAGGAGGAGCTCTGCGCTCCTTTCCTTTTCATCTCCTTCGCACTTCACGGCTGCGGCCTAAGTGGACAGCAAACCGACGCAACAAGCCGTGATTCCGGCTGTCAGAAGTCAAAACTTTCTGCCGCGTCTAGCGCATAAACTTGTCCACCCTGTGGCACCTAATGTGAGAAAGGATTAGGAAAATATATGGAGGTAAGATGGATACTCTACTGACGTTAGGATGCACAACTTCTTGAGAGCCTGAAAGAGAAAGAGAAAGCGAGACCGCCTAAAATAGCCCAACCTCTTTTTCCTGGCGGGCTCGTGGCAAAAGCAAACAAAAAAGAAGAGGAGGCAGCTCCGTAAGTTCCACTTTTGCAGCAGGATTGACCGGGCGCAGGACTGCGCAGCTCGCTCGCGATAGACAAAGTGCGCCTGCATCACCGCAGCTCCTTTCATGGTCCATGTGCTCACAAACTCAGCCTTCTTTTCAAAACGAATCAGTTACAGGATGCTCACAGCCAATTGGTCAAGAGCACGCACGTGCTAATGTAAAATAATACTGATGTTGCTCATTCCAAAATTGTCAAATTTAACTCATCACGCATTCCCTTCGCAGGCCCAAGGAAGCTTAAGCTCCTGTTTTTTGTTTGCAGTTTGACCCGCCGAATCAGTGTCAACCCAACAAGGGCTCATCGAAGCCCTGTCACGTGACGAGGATTCGTCGAATCAGTGTCAACTTGGATCCTTGCCATCTTGGCGTGGATTCGACGAATCCGTGCTGAAACCGGCGCTTATTCGAAGGTTTCAGCGCTTGCTCGAGTGGATCAGCGCTGATCCGACACAAAAACCCTACTTTTCCTTGTCAAACCAGCGCTGATTCGCGAATCAGTGCTGAAACCAGCGCTTAAAGAAGGACTGGGTAGTTGTCACAGGAGACGGAAGCAAGACGGCTGTGCTAGATTACATCGTGACTACACTCGCGGACTCCTACGAGCTCCCAAAGTACAAAGACAAGTCTTTAGGCTATGAGTCGTCATTGCCACCAGGTGCGGTCGACGAGGGGAACCTAGCCACGCTCCTAGGTGAATGGACAAACAGGCAGCCTCATTGGGGGCCCGACCAAACTGACCCCGCACAGCGTTTCAAGAAAGTTGACCCAGAGGGCATCTGCCTGGAGCTGCTCCAGAAGGACATCAACGACAACAAGGCCAGCGATGCCCTTCCCAACTACTCTACGAGGGTGATGCTCACTTTGCTGAAGAGGGGTGGGTTCACGTTGATGACCTCGTGCCACATGGTCTGGAGCTTCTTGTGAACTACTTCTACGACATCACGGACTTCTCTTTCAACCGAGGGGCAACCATTAAGATTCCTCCGGCAACTATTCTTGGTGCAGACATCAACGTGGTGGGGATGACGCGTCACCCCAGATGGCAGGGCCTTCTTCCGGAACATGGAGGGCGAACGCATCAAGTGGGCCGACATGATCTTGTACTCGCCAGAGGAAACGCCAGCTCCGAGAACGTACAGCAATTTTCTAAGTCGGCACCTCAAGCTCCTGAAGAACCACCAGCATCAGTGCCAGCTCCTGCTCGTAGACAACCCCATAGGCCTGCAAGAAGGCCGAGACACATCGGTCCGAACCGTATGGACAACTGCCTCAAGGCGCAGCTCCAAGATCTGGTCCACAGTCGATTCAAGACCAAGGTCTGCACAACAATGCCGTCGTGGGGATGGAGGTGATAGGCGTCGCATTGGCTGAGCCTTTAGGGGAACTTCATGGTATGAAATTCAGCCGAGCTCCAGCAGCTGTAGTAGGAGACAAGCTAAAGCAGAGGGAGGTTGTTCGTTCAGCACCTCGGTCAACTCAGATCCCATCCTGACTATCATGTCCGAGCATGATGAACATGTTCGCTTTCTGGCTCAAGTTGGTGATGGAAGACAGCATGGCAGTCCCCTTCATTCCTGACTTCGTGTCGGAATTATGTGATGGAGTGCTGCTTGATGTGGTTCTTGAAAGTGAGTGGGAGACCATAGACATGCAGATACTGTTTGTCAGGAAGAACTTCATCACCAATCTCGGCGCAGACATGGTCATCACGTTGGGAAACATTGCGGTGACACACACCGTGCACATGTTGTTGGAGGAGGCAAACATCTCAAGAGAGAACTTGGACGTCACCATGTTCTACAACCATTCCAACATCTCCGAGCTCAATCGTCGATATTTCATTTGTGGCCAGCTCGAAGGAAAGCACCAGTTCAAGAAGGATCTTAAGGTCTATCGGATCCTGGCGATGAACTTGGCGGACAGCAAGACTTTCAGCTTTTGCACGAACAGCGATGAGGATCATGTGCTGAGGAGCGTGAAAGACAAGTTCATCTTCTTCAACATGGGGATCAACTTGGACGTCATGACCCTCTAAGAAGTATCAGAGAGAACATGGTCGAGATGATGGCCAGAGAGGCAATCCGGACGGAGGAAAGTCTTTGTGCGGGTCTCAAATTTGAAGAGTTTCTTCAGCTGATCCAGGTGGATGTAGCAAGATCATCTGAGGTAGACGTCATGAAACGGTAGGCACGACTTCATCTGCGGGTACCTCATGAGCAAGACTGGGTCAAGAGTGATGAACTCGGACATCGACACTGACTACATACGTCGCCTCGGTCGTCCACACCGAGTCACTTCTGATTTCTGCTTTCAAGAGAATGACTCAGCAGTCTTAAGCAAGATCAACAGGTACAACGATATGATGCGGGCTTTGGAGAAAGGCCATGTTGTTGTTCCTGGTAGCCACAAGTGCTCGGCATGTACATCATCTCTGTAGAGATCTTATCAGGCAAAACTCAACTTGTCAGGACGGCGACGAATACAGAGACGTGTATTGATGGCATGAATCTCCAAACAAAGGGCCGTCAGAGGTGCGCACAACTTGAACCAACAGACCCTTTGTGATGGTTGCCCAAGGCAAAGAAACCACTGGCTGGTGTTCTTCCGGGAGCAAACAGCAACTCATTTGGGGTGCCAGTTGGTTTCGTCGAAAGATTAGCCATCCTTTTCCAGGGCCTTTTCCAAAAGGTGACTTGCTAACCACCAAAAGGGAAAACATAAAGGACCCTGTTCCTACACTGGAGAAAGGTGGTTTGGGAGTTTGGATTTGGATTTGAAGCTCTGGGGGTCAATGGAAACCCACCACCGGAACACTTCCCGGCTCCAAGCCCCCCAAAAAAGGCCAAAGAAAAGAGGGCCTTCCTCCGGGGAAACCCACATGAGCGGCGATCAAAATCCTATTAAGAAACTTGTCGTCCAGAATGGGATTCCGCGCAAGGATTTGTTGAGGGCGCGGAAGCTTGTGGAAGCTGCTGCGGAGCACATTGCAAGCTTTGTTGCTGTGGAAGCCCGCGGAAGCTAGCTTCACAGATGGCAAACTAATTTATTTGGCTCAAGCAAATCGCTTGTTTTTCGTACCAAGCTCTTGCAGAAACATAAGAGCCCCGCAACTTGCTAGCCGATTTGTTTGGGCCAGCCACATCGTTATCATCGTTTTCTTGCGCCCGCATTCCAAGAAACTAGACACCAAAACCAAACCAGGGAAGAATCGAACCCTTGCGTCTAAATAGGCGCTGTGGATCAGATCTTCCTCCACACTAGACACTCCGGGAGCGCTAGCCTCACATTTCCCATCCTCCTTTGTGAAGGAAACACCAACTGCGATTTGTTTGGCACAAACAAATTCTTTGTTTGGCGCCAGGTTCTTGCCCTGACCCTGACTGCGCCAAGAGCATGTTTCCGGCCTGACTCAGCCTGGCAAGCAAAATGAAGAATACCACGATTTATTTGGCTCTGACAAGTGTCAATGCAGCTTCCTGACCCTAACGATTTATTTGGCTCAAGCAAATTGCTTTGGATAAAACAAACCAAACTGTATGTTGGCTCCTTTTTTGCATTTGGTCAGCTGTGAAGAATCAAAAGTGACTTAGAGGAACGTTCGGAACTCCTACGTGCCAGAAACGACAGGCTTTCAGCAAATTGTCGCGCAGGAACGCGCAAACCACCCCAGGAAAGCCCAACAGAAATCCCACACAGACCATGCGCGGAAGCCGCGGAAGCAAAGTACTTTTGCGGAAGCAAAAAACCGTGCCGTGGAAACCGTTCTGCCAAAAGAGGACATGGAGATAACCCCCCCCAAAGTTGATCCCACGCCAGAGGGGAAAAAAAGGGGGAAAAAAACATACCCACATGTGTCATGGTCAAAGCTCCCACCACATTTTGTCCCAGCCACAGTCCTTTTTGGCTGTTTTGGTAGAAAAAGATAGATGGCGATTCCTGGTTTACCTGGTGGTTCTTTCTCATCTACCACCGTCTATTCCCCCAAAAAAGGACGCCGGTTGGTTCCCAGCCCTTATCAGCCATGTCTTCCACGCCCCGTGGCCCTAGCCGCGGGGCCGGGGGGCACAAGCTGCCCCAGGAGCACGTGAACCGCGACCGCGAGGGCGAGGTGGCCGCCACCGCGGAGCGGCGCCGCCGCGCGCTGGCCGAGGCGGAGGAGACCGCCGGCCGGTGGGCGGTTCGGTGGGAAGGCGGGGGGTGACGGAAGGCGGCTGGTGACGGAAGCCTTGAGTTCATGTTGACTTTGGCCACTTTTTGGGGATTGGTTGCCATTTTTAATGACCTAGTCACTGGAGTTTTACCGCTGGAGGAGTTGTTGACGTTCTCCATTTTTTGCCAGCCATCCGGCTCAACTTTGGTTTGTAGATCTTTGCAGTTGGTTGGCTATCTCCATTGGTGGCATGCTGATTCGTACGCTTCAACTTAGGTGTTTAGATCTTTTCAGTTGGTTTAGTGGATGGGTTTCCGCATTTAACCCTCAAGTTAGCTACTTGCAGAAGGGGATCTCAGGACAGCGAAAATTGTGGTTCCTTTCCCTTGACCATCCCCTTCTGGGTTTCTCTTTTGCATCCCGGTTTAAACTTTTGGGGTTTGGTTGACATTTTAGTACTAACTGCCAAGTTTGGATTTGTTTTTGGCCAATCCGCTCAAGACAACCAACAACCACAAAATGGTGAGTTACAGCAAAGTAGATGGGGGGTCCTTGTTCTACTTGCAATATTTGGTGCATCCGCTGTAGGGATGGTCATCAACCTGTTTTACGGACCTCCTTGACTTTTTGGGGTTGGTTGCGATTTTGGTGGCAAACAAGAAGTCGGTTTATATTTGTGTTGACCCGGATTATAATTACCCCGTCCTATCAAAAGGCAGGTGGTGGCCCTGCAAAAGTGGTCCGACCCCCCCGATTACTCAACTAGGGGTTCCGCCTACTCTGGGCTCCCAGAGATTCGTTCTGGACCTTTAGGGCTCCGGCTCACAGGGGTCCCTAGATATCCGTTTTTGGGTTGCTTTCAGCATCGCATTTCTGGCCCGTGAAGGGTGAGTTTTCTTGGGGCCCGGTGATGTTCCAAGCAGAAAGATAGGGAGCCCGGTTTCAAATGTCCTGGTTCGATCGAAGGGTGTCAAACTTCCTGGTTTGTCTCAAGGGTTGCGGGAGGGATGCCACACAACAACTCCGGGACAAGCCCAACAGTATTCCCATCGGGAGAGAAGCAATGTGACTGTGGCTCGTACGGGTATCAATCTTCCTTCGAGTAATTGGAAAGCGAAGGTGGCAAGTGGAAGATTCAACCTCAGAGGCCGTGGTTACATGTTTTTTGTTAATTAGGATCTTTTGGTTCCTTTAGCCGGGGGCTGGGGTCTGGATGTTTAAACACATTTTGCCGAACCTTGGTGCGGTGCGGCGGAGGGAGGAGGGAGGAGGGAGGGAGGCAGGAAGGGAGGGAGGTGAGGCAGTGTCAAGACTAGGCATGCTTTGAGAGACGGCTTTGTTGAGAAACTGGCTTGAAAGGGACCCCTGATTATTGCAGTCTTTCGGCAAATTCCCAATCAAGTTCGTCATTGGTCTGGCTTCAGCTGCTGAACGAATCCCCTTTTTTGATGATGGGATTGGTCTCAAATGTCACCAGCCCCAATTCTGGGATTCATGTTCATGTCCCGTATTTGTCGAGCACATTTCCTCTTTTTTCAGACTTCAAGTCTGACTGAGCTCAAAGGATGGGAGAATCTACGGTAGAAGTGACAAATCATGGTGCACTGTCGGGCCAAGGATTCCCGACCACACCCATCCGCAGCTTCGGTTTGCCTGAGGAATTGTCCTCCGAAGGTGGGCTTCGGTTTCCCTAAGAGCACAGAGCGCAAACCCGGGGAAAAAAAAACGCACATACAGTGGATGGACAAAATCCCATTTCGCACCTTCTAAGAAACCCCGGTTTCTGATGACTGATGACTCCCCGGTAAAAAGCCAACAAGGATTCTCATGGGTTTCAAAGCGCTGAAGGATTTCGTCCATCCACAGTAGCAGTCCTTTGGAAATCCAAGGTGCAGCAGCCTAGTGGCCTTTACCAGGGTTCTTCGGGTCCTTCAAAAAAGCAAAAAACAATTCGTACGGTTGGTTTGGGGAGGACATGGGGGGAGCCACAGGAACCGGGGCTTAAGACCACCACGCGAACCTGGAGGCAAGTTGCGTGTGTAACCTACCAGGCCCTCAGCCAATTAAGACTAAAAGGTCATAGCGTAATAGTGTAAACCATTTTCAGCACTACTTTGGTGCATTTTGCTTGGATGTTAGGACTTTAACTTTTTGCCAACTAATGGGTTTGCCGTATTAAACCACTAAAGTTAAACTTTTAGGAGGGGAGCAGAAAGCAACCGAGAATAGACGCTGTTTAATCTCACGGTTTCAAGGGGTTGAATCGCACCCTGATACGCTTTCCCTTTGATCTCCGCACACCAAACCCACTCCCACCCGGCCGTCAAAGAAAGACAGACACTTGACCGATTCGTCCACCTAGGGGTCGGTGTTTTTTTGGAGGACACCAGTTTTTGGCACCTCGTTTGACAGATCCACTGGATAGCACGCAATCCGCGAAGTGAACACATGAGCAACGGTCAAGAAGGGGTGTATCTTTTTTTGGGGGCCCCCGATTCAATCGGTGTGTCCCCTTCAGGTTTCCCTTTAAACCCACCCCAAACAGGATACCAACTTCCAAGAGTCAGACACCAAGACATGCTATGGTTCTGTGGTTACGCTCTCACTGCGGACGAACTCCCTTCGCACCACGAACTGAAACCATGCTTAAACCATAACGTTAGTTGGTATTTACGTCGGGGAGTCCTCAGAGCCTCATATTTCCCCACGAGATGGGACAATTCCTACCTGGGAACAGAAAACCGATGGTCAAGGCTGGGGGCCGGAGGGAAATTGGACCACAGAGACAATTCCTACCACCTGGGAATAGGGGACCGATGGTGATCCCAGCCCCATACCTCAGAACCTCACCAAATAGATGACATCTCCCAAAAAAGGGGACAATTCCCACCACATAGGCCGGAGGGCACATTGCATGGTTGTTGTTGGGTTTTACATGTTACATTTTTTCGCTTATTGTGGTTTAGTGGTTGAAGTCCAAATCCACTTAACTGCTAAAATTTTAGAATTTTTGCTCCCCGAACCCAACGTTGACCGAGATTGACCCCCCATGTGCCAGGAGAATCAGCGCCTGGGCAAGAGCCGCTCTCCCGGCCCGCACCGTCGGGAGAGCAGAGCCCAGGCACGCCGCCTCGAGCGACTTTTTTCCGGTTTCGCCACCGTTCCCTCAGTTTCGGGTTCGCCTCGCAAAAAACATCTATCGCGATCGGGTGCGATGGCCAGGGGAATGAGGGAATGAGGTGGAATGGCCCTTGACAAACAATCAGATGGGAATGGGAATGAGGGAATGACCGTTGAGGGGATGAGGGAATGCTGGTGCGATAATTTGGCGGGGAACGGGAATGAGTTGGAAAGACCCTTTTTTAACTTCATCCAAGTGGTGGTTTCCTTCTGGGGAATTTGCTAGGTTCATTCCCAACACCAGGAATCTCGTTGTCATTCCCTACGCACCAGCAGGTAAGTGGTTGTTTGGAGGTTGGTGGTTTGGACTTGGAAGTGTAGCCTTGCTCCTTGTTAAGGGTGAATGGGAAACCCATCCTTGACCACCAAGCCAAACCACCACCTGGAGGGAAGCTGATGTTCTGAACCCCAACAGCTGAAAGCTATGGGGTCGAAAATCGGCCCTGCTAGGCATTTGATAAATAAGGGGTGGTCTGGGGAAGCTTTCAAGGAGGGTTCAAAAGGAGGGTTCAAAAGGATAATTCAAAAGGAGGGTTCAATACGGGGGGTCCGGCGCTGTTGGGGATAGGCCCTGGGCTTATTTTTTGTTTGTGGGTGTTCGTGCAAAGTCAGATAACCTTGGTCGGTGGGTTGGATTGGGGGTTTGGATTAGGGGTTTGGATTTGGATTTGAACCCTGGGTTCTTGTTAACCACCCCCGGAACACCTCCAAGCAACCAATCCAAGCCGAAGGAACACAAAAAGATGTCACAAAGGGCAAAATGTGAACCAGGAAGCGGCTTTCATGTTTTGATTGCCACAAGAACTTCAATAAAAGGGCTGGTTGACGACTCCGAAGCGGGGAAGCAAAATGGAGCTGGAGGATGTCGGGACCCTGAGCTTGCGTCATTTGCCTTTCAGGTGAGTTCAAGGCCTCTTGCTTTGGCCATTTGGAACCTTAGACACAAAAACTTAAGCTTCCTGGCTGGCATACGCCGGTCCATTTCAGGCCGAAAACTCGGCACAGGGGGTGAAATTTGGACCACAACAGCCGTGGATTCGAGATGCAAGCATACAGCGGTCTCGCATTGAGCGGGACCCCGGTGTTTCAGCAGCGATTTGCATGATCATGTGAAGAATTTCCGTACAAAACCCGGCAGTGGATGAAACCCGAGTCGAAGACTGAGACACACCTTTTGGTGTGCCCTTGAAACGGCCGAGTTAAATCCAAGGAGACTCAACATGTAAACCGCTTCCCAAAACCAAAAGGAGTTCCCTCTGAAAATGATGGGCTCTATATTTATCTCAGATATGGAAGTCACCTTTTTTGGGGGCCTTATCTTGACACATGCCCAAACATTAAATCTGATCAGTTCCAGAGGCTGCTTGCAGAGCCATTGCTAAATGCTTTGGCAGAGGAGTCAAGTCGAAACAAGTCACACTGGATCTTTGATTTTTTCCTTGGTTGTCATTCCAGTCCTAGCAAGTATGCTCATTTGCAGATCAACATTGAGCACAAAGGGCCATTTGTAGAGCTTCCTCAGCTCCTTCTTGACTCTCTTTCTGGGCAATGTTAATTTGGGGGAGAACGAGATTGTGCCGAGTGAGAGTCTCAATTGGAAGGATCAAACAACTGCTTGCAAATCCCCCGGTCGCGGGGTCGCAACCGAGCTCGAGAGACTGAGCCCGGGGCAAGCCGCCGCCCTGAGACAACGTTAGTGTTGGCAATAGGCAGGGCTCCTATTGAAAGATACGTTTTGCCCATTTGAAACATGCTGCTTTTTCCACCAAAATGCAGGGACACCACCATTTACAAAGCAATGTTCAGGGGTATAATGTAAGGACCCCTGATAGGCTAAAGGGGGTAAAATAGAAAGCGAGGGATTCCTGTGATAGTTTCTTGGGACTCATGCCAGCACCTCCCCCCCCCAAACAACTGCCTTGGTGAATATCCGAAATCCCCTTGGTCCTGTCCAAAAGGCGGTGGTTCCCGTATATTCCAGGCGGACATGTTACGTAGTGTTCTGAACGGGGTAATTTCCATTTCCATTCTTTCCAGGGATCCGAATCTTTTTAGAAAACCACAAAAACGGAGAAATGGATATCTGGCTTTTAAAAAAAGACGAGGGCTGACAAGAATTAGGGGAATCAACCCCTACTTTGGTGCATTTTGCTTGGATGTTAGGACTGAACAACTTTTTGCCAGCTCATGAATTGGTTTTCCGTATGAAACCCGCGAAAAGTTAGAACAACTTTTAGCAAACCCACGAAAAGTTAGACACACTTTTTGCAGGGCTTCGCCGAGTTCGTCGCTGAGCCTCGGATCGTGTGCGACCAAAAACACTCCCGGCAGGTTCGGAGGCCCGTGTCGAGCCTCAAGGGCCCGGAGAGGTTCTTCTACGACAAGAACAGCTACACAGGCCATGCGAGCGGATTCCTTTTCCATTCCTTAGGGGGTGATGTTCCTTTTCCATTCCAATCAAAACCATCCCTAGGGGTTGATGTTGATTTTCCCTTTCCCTTCCAATCAAAACCATCGTTTTTGTTTTTCCAAGAAACTGCAGTTGTTGTTTTTTTTTACAGGATTCCGGAGGTTTTCTAGAAAGATTCGGAGCCCTGGAAAGAACGGAATGAATGGGGAAGGTACCCCTAGATCGGTGTGTGTGTGTGTGTCTGTTGTTTTTTAGGGACCCCAAAATGGTGGTTTTCCTTTTGGCTTATTTTGGTTTAGCTTTAGAACCGTACAAATTGGGTTTCCTCAAAAACGACACCCATTTGTGGATCGGATGTGGTGGGGAAACCGCGCAGAGTGAAGTGGGGATCGGAGCGCATTCTTAGGCGATGAATCCTTGGAATCCTTGGGGTGTGAAAGGTTGCGGGGGGGGGGGGGGGTTGGGGGGTTGGGGGTCATTCCTTCAAACTGGCAAAGCTGCAAGCAAGCCTGGCTGGGCTGATTGTGTGTGTGTGTGCTTGCGTGCGTGAGTGAGGGAGAGAGAGAGGGAGTGATGCCCACATGTTTACTCGCAGACTTGGCCTATTTGTGCTGCCACTTTCGCATAGTGCAGGTGTGCGAGAGGTCTTGGGCACCGATTTTTTGTTGTATTAAAAAAGAAGGAAGCACAGATCTCACCCCTATCCTGTCTCCCTTTGAACAGGGTTGCTGCTGAGCTGCGGTCCAAGCTTCTCGCGCGGGGTGTTCAGGTACCCACAAGCACGGTGGGCCTTCGGTGACGGGCAACGGCTTGCCCAAGCAGGGCTACGAGGATCTTAGCCGCTGAGCTTCGAGCCTCTTTTCCTCCTTTTTTTCCCCTGGACTCTCTGCATTCGTGCTTCATCGAACCGCGACCAAACTGGGCATTCTTTTTTTTTCCCATTTGGGGACCTCAAGCTCAGGATCCAAGGCTGGAATCAGATTGGGCGCCATCCCAGGCCCTTTGGGCAGCCCTCTTTTGTTTTCAAAGGGAAACCGGTCGACACCAAAAGGAAATTCTCCTCATCTTGAGAGGTCCAAATGGATTTTGACATACCTCAATGGACAGAATCCGTGAAATGAAACGGGAAACACATGAACAACAGTCTATAGGGTTGATTAGTTGATTACCCACTCTTTTCTTGACTGCTATTGTGTTGGGTTTTTAGACTTTAACTTTTTGCAAAATCAAGGAGCTTTCCACAACCCCCAAAAGGTTAAACTTTTTGCAGGGGGATCAACAGCAACCAAGTTTCAGCCATCGTTCTTTGCGACAACCAGTTTGTTTTTGGGACCCTGGTTAGTTGGGCAATGTGGACCATGGCTCACATACTCACTTTCTGCACTGACTTTGGGGATCGACCATACAGAACAATACTTCAGCGTCCCTCCAATTGGTGGTTTGGATTGGTGGTTGGGTGGTTAAGGAACGGTTTCCCGTGTACCCGCGACGAGAACCAAGGGTTCAAATCCATATCCACACCCGGGCTCCAAGCCACCAACTGAGGGGTAGTTGAATACTGCATGAGGTATGAGGCACCACTATCATCTTTGAGGAATCCACTTGAGGGGAGGGGCTCCATATCTGTCATCGCTTGGTTCAGACATGTCGGCTGCGAGATGTGAGATTCAGGGCCCAAAAGGGTTTTTCCACCAGTTTGTGTTGGAAAAGAGGCCTCATGCGATGAGCCATACTGGAGACGCGGTTCAAAGTCCATCGATTGCATAGATCCAACGGCCGGATCTCAGTGGTGTCCTTTGTTGCCTAGTGGAGTTCGCCAGATATGTTGACTAGGTCCCCCAGTAGTGCCCTTTTACCCTTTTTTTGGGGAGGGTTCCCCTACTAAAATAGACTACGGAAAAAAGGGTGCCCTTATTCTAACCTCTCTGCTGGAGGACCTAGTTGATCAGGGAAGGGCATGAGTCACCAACCTCTGGTTCCCTCACCAAAGGCGAGCTGGTTCGACGTGACCACGCCGGCAGCCGAGTCTGATGCCGAATCATCCCGGGTGTTGTTTCTGGGGTTTGCCAGCATCTCCTGGGGTTTCTTCCCCGAAATCTGTTGTGTTGAACAGGTAGACTAAATACGGAACACAATCAGAAAAGTATTATTTTTCAGTCCTCAGATGTCCAAGTTTTGAGGGGTTCTAAACTTTGCCTTAGTTGGTTTCCCTTTAAACCATCATTCAGGGATTCGTTTTGAGTATGTCACTTCAACGGACGTTTTCACAAGTCAGAGTCTCACGGGAAGCCAAAAGAGAACCAGCCCATTGTTTGGCGTCAGCATTTTGATTCTTTCCGGGCTCATCAAAGTTCGCAGGCAGATACACCCGGTAAGCATTCAGAGACATGTACTCGGATCCTCAAGCTGTCAACTTTCCAAGAATGTCTTGACTTCGCTCACAATCATGGACCTGTCCTCTTCTTGCCCGGCTTTGGTGTCACCATCAAGCTTATATCACCTTTTAAGACCAACTGCTATTTCTCCCCGAGAGTCAGCGACAAGTTTCACTTCCAAGACCTACCCAATTTGGCAAGTTTCACGTGTCAAATGGGTCCAAGACCAGCCCAATTTGGCACTGCTGGTTTGTGGCGTTCTGGTCCAAGCAAATTTCGATTCACAGACGCTGATCCGCTAACGTCAAGGGCCAAAGGCCCAGCTCGTTGCCATGAGCCGTCCATTTGTTTGGTGGTTTTGGTCGAAAAATCGATGGGTTTCGACTCCTGGTTTAGCTGGTGCTTTTTAGTAATCTACCAGGGACACCCATCTATGTGCCCAAAAAAAAAGGCCGCCTGTGGTTCCCGGTTTGTTTCAGCGTCACAGCTCGGGGGTTCAATACCAGGGAAACCCATCGATTTCGTCTAAAAGGACACCTACTGGGACGCGGTGTTGCTCTCCGAGCGCACGCGGGTCCAGCACATCTTGCCCGCTCTAAAGCTGGGGTACACTTTTTTTCAGGGGGGGGTGGTGGGGGTGGGGGGGGGAGGGACAGAACTGGAGCCTTTGCTCTGGCCAGCCAAAAGCCAAAGGGAAACTCTGTGCCAATCGCGAATGAATACCATGATTATGATGCAGAGGGGGGCGCGCGCCCCCTCTGCATATCTCATGAAGCCGTTCGGCGGAAATTCCCCCGGAATCCGCAGTCCGAAGGTGCAGGATGATGAGCTCCACCGGCACCGCCGGACCCAGGCGCGCGCCGGCTTCTCCAGCCAACGCTCGGGCGGTTCGGCTCCACGGAACGGGATCCGGTCGGGATCCGGTCCCGAAAGGAAAATGAAGCTCCAGGAGCCCAACGAACCTCATGTTCCATGTGAAGTGGGAGGCTGTTCTTGGGGGGCTTTTGAGCCCGGATCCTCAAGACGTGAAGGTTCAGAAGCCCCTCTTGGCCGGAAGGTGCGGATGGCCTTTGAAGTTCCTGCTGAGGTTGAGGTCGACCATGTCAATGTCAAGACCGGGCTTTGCGTGTGACTTAGGCCGGCTCCAAACAGTCCAAACCTCCCCCCCTCTCGCAGGTCTTCGGGTTCAGGCTGGGATGAACCACGGTTGCCAGTAACGCCCATGTGAGTTAGCTTCAAGATGACCATCATTTACTCTATGTAGGTGTCCATGGAAGCACGTGTCGTTTTGTGTTTGTTCGAACAAAACGATACGGGACGGCCAACAAGAACTACCCCCAAACCTGAGAACATAGCATCAACAACGATACGTGGACGTCCCAACGTCGGAATGAATACACCCCAAACAACTAATTTAGACGCTGGCTCACGTCAACGTAACGAGATATGTAACGAGGCATAGCCGGTATAGCACACAATCATTCCAGCTGTTTTGAAGAAGGGAAATATCTTTCCAATTTAGCTCTGCATGGGTAAGCCCGGTGAATACATGCCGTGCAAAAGTCTGCTCTGCAAGCATCCGTGGCGATTCCAGCAGGGAATGACCCAGGGTGGTGGTTTATAGGAGATGGTTTATGGGGTCATTCCCTCATTCCCTGCCTATCAAACCATGTTCATTTGCAGCAGAGGAACCCCGGGCAACTCTGCGATTCCAGCGATGCCTTTTTGGAACGGACAAGCCAACGCTGACAGCGTTACTCGGAGCAGTGGAAAAGGCCAATTTAGAGTGATTCCAGTGGATTTTGCTCTTTGTTGAACCTGGCTTACTTGCAGTATTTGGGGAATGAGGCGTTTTGTCACGAGTGTCTTCCTGCGTGATCACTTAAGCTCACTGAGCTTCAACTCCGAATTCCTCCTCTATCACCACACGGGCACCCCGTTTGGCTTGCTGCAGTTCTAGGTCCCCCAGCTAGGCGCCCTTCTCTCACCCTTTTTTGGCTGGGAGGGTTCCCCTAAAATAGACTACAGAAAGCACTTGATGCCAACTTATTCTAACCTCTTTGTTGGAAAAAAACGGGTAGCCTTATTCTAGCCTCTCAAATCTGGAGGACCTAGAGGTTGTCCCTTTGGGCACGTGGCCAGGAGGAGCCGATTGAGGAGGCGGGGAGGATTTTGTCCTCGTGCGGGGTGGCCAGTTGCCCAGTGGCCTAGTGGGTTGCCTCCTGTTTTCCATTTTTTGTGTTTGTTTCTTATCTCTTCTTTTTTGTGTCTTTTTGTTCTTCTCCCTTTTTTTGGGAAGGGTTCCCCTTGAAAGGCAAGAATGGTGCCCTTTTTTTGGGAAGTGTTCCCCTGTAAAGTCAATCAACCAAAAAAGGATGCCCTTTTCTTCCCATGGAAATCCGCTGGGCACCTGAGTCTAGAAATTGACCTCTGGGTTTCATGGGGAGGATGTTGTGTCGCGTGGCCGTGCGTGTTTTCGTCTTTTTTTTACTGAGGGCATCCGTTTGAGGTTGGTTTCAAGGGAAACCTTGCTGGGTGTGGGAATTTTATGCGGGGTCCCTGAGGCTTGAATGGTACACCACTCCTTGCTGTCAAAGTGCCCGCGTTGCCCTTTCCAGATGTTCATCTCGACCCTGGCGCAATCAGTGCAACTTCATGAGTCATGTGTTTTTGTTGATTATTTTGGCCCATGATATCATGAAGCTTTTTTCCCCAACTGGAAGCGTTGGAGGTCTCAGATAGGCTCCTTGGTTTGGATTGCAGCCGCTTTCAGGAGGAATCAAAGGACATTTTCGGTGCCAGCAGGTTCCCGAATACCCTCCCCCAAAAAAATAAACCCAGGCCCGGACAAATCAGCCGAGGTCGTATCCCAACAGCGCCGGAACCCCCCTTTTGAACCCCTTCACTGTAAATCGTACCGAGTACTCCTCAAACAAAAACCAAAAAGGCCCAGGCCCGTATTCGTCGTGTTTTCAGGTTACCCTTAACTTGGTGGTTTGGATTGGTGGTTTGGGGAAGCTTTCAGGGAGGATATGCGTTGAAAGTCAGGTAACCTTGGTTGGTGTTTTGGATTTGATCCCTGGCCCGCGGAGCAATGAAGCCCTGGATTCTTGGGTAAATGGGACGCCCTGGCGCACCAATTCGACGGAAGCTGATTGCGGGTCGTTTTGAAGGAACCCAACAGCAGATTACTGTTTTAAGGCGTTGTCATTGCGGGCCTACGTGCGCGACAGTGCCCTTGGCACAGCAGCAAAGGGATAAGCGATATGGCCATGAGTTTTCATAGGGAACCCCCTCCAAAGTGGTAGGGGGACATGGATCCCCGCCGAAATGATGTCCACCAAAGGGTCCCTCATTGCTTGGTGGCTCCCAGCCATCCCCTTAGCCTTTTAGCCTTTTAGTGTTTAGTGGTAGTTTCCATTTAACCCACTAACGGTTAGTCACTTTTAGCGGGGGATCAGAAAACGGGCAGCCCAGATGAAATTCACACCCATAAAGGGCAAAGCGTGAACCAAGAACCACCTCGCTACTTCTGACGCATCGATGCCAGGAGCGGCCAGACTATGCGCCCAGGACGGAGTACGCGCCGAGGGCGGAGTACGTGCCGCCCAGGCGCGGATCTTGCAAGTCCGGGGGGGGCTTTGATGCTTCTTCCTGTTTTGGTAGCGAAGGGAACCACCCTTATACATCCTGTAAAAGCCCGAAGGGAGAATTGCTGGTTACTGCAGGGCTTGCCTGGGATCCACTGAAAGTTGGGAGGTTCTGGAGCTGTTGCCTCTGGCCGTGGGTTTTTTTGCCGGACCTCACATACACGAAAACGACAGGCCAGAGGACCTCCCGATGCTCCTGGGCTCACCGCGGCGGCGCCGTCAGCAAGTGGAGGTAGCTTTGGCGGCTTTGTTGGGTCGGCGTTGGCGGCCTTTTTTTTGGGTGGGCTTCTGGTTGGGTGGAAATCCCTTCGACCTATCACGTTTGAGGGTAAAATCACAGGGCCAGCTTTTTGGGGCAATTGTCCACAAGAACCTGGGGTTCAAACCCGAAACCACCAATCACCGGCAACTAGGGGTTATCTGATGTTTCCCTTCAACCTATGACTTTCCTATGGTAAACAAAAAATGGCCAGCACAGGGGTATCAAAGTCAGAAACTGGTTGGGTGGAAATCCATTTGATCTATCACCGTGTTTGTGTGTTTGTGCTTGTCTGTGCGTTTGTTAGTCATGGATAGTTGTTGTGGTGGCCCAGCCATTTGAGTCTAGAAAGCAGGTTTGGGTGTGGATCCACTCCTGGATATATTGAAGAGTCCAAAAAGATTACTAAAAGAGAACCAAAAGAGAAGAACCGGTGAAATCCACAGAAAAAAAAGAAGAAGAAAAAAACACATCCAAACCGATCTCTAGAGTTTCCAAATCTAGGCGTGCTGAAATTCCTGCGACCGGAAACTTAGACCCGAAGGCGGACGCTCAACACGTGAATCATGCTCTTGTTTTTCCCGGAGGGACGATATGAAAGCACGGCCAAATGTTTTCAAAAAACCTGATGCAGGGAAACGTGTCTCGAAGTATCAAGCGTTCAGCTCGAGTTTTGCAATGCCGACGGTCAACTTTTCTACTTTGCCGGGCGCGAGGCTGAGTGTACGCTTGCAGCAAACACCCCCACTCGCTGCTTTGTGGGCGCGTTCGCACCTCTGTGCATGGAACCGATATCTTTTTTTGTGATGTCCTATTGAATTTACCATTCGGAGAGTTATGGGGTTCTGTCAGGTTCAAGACCGGTCCCGCGATGGAATTTGCGACCTACCCTGAAGTGAATTTGGATTCATGTTGACCCCATGTTAGTCAACCCCAGCTGGTTTTCTGGGGGAATCAGATGACTGTTGGAGGGGCCAGAACACCCCCTATGATTCATAGGGAGTCTTGGATTCCCTGAAAACCGGCCGGAATCAGACCACTCTTGGGGCCAAAAACCACCCCCCCATGAGTAATCTGGGGTCGATCAACCTGACCCTAAAACCCGGGGGCCCGCGCCACGCCGCGCCGATTGGTTTGTTCTCGGCGCCGAGTGTAGGTGAAGGCTGCGAGCCCCAAGTATACTGAGTACAAGGAGACGCCTTGGGTGATGCCTGCGTCCCCTCCGGCCAGGGGGCCTGGGGGCACCTGAAAAGACCTGGGGATGGGGGGACCGGGGCATGTTGAGGCTATAGGGTCGAGAAAAAGGCTGTGGTGCATATGCCTGGGATGAGGGAAATGGGTTGAGGATGAGGGGAGGTGATTTTTTCTTTCGGGGAGGGAGGGTTCCGGAGATTCCGGGGATGGGGGTTCCAAGGAGAGCTTCAGCAGTGCACGGGGCGGTTCCGAGTTCTGGCAATGCACCGGCTCTTGCCCGCGCGCTCGCCTGGAGTCAGCCCAATCTGCGCCGCGCGTACATGCGCAAGTACACATTTTTGCTGCTGCGAATATCACTATTTTGCCTTAAAAAGGCGACACGCAACGAGGTTGTCAACAAATCATATGTTTTGAAAGGGTTCCTGGCTCCACCTTGCGCTGCGTCTGAACGGGATACCATAAACAGCCCCTCAAATTGACACGTCCCCAGCAAGTCCGCCCCTTTTTCCCTTGTTGGCCGGTCTGAAGATAGGAGTGTCATGTTTGCTTAAGACAGTGTCCCAGTTCCCTTTAGCCCCCCTCAAAGTGGCACGAGCTTATTTCCCTTTGTAAGCCTCGTGGGTTTTGGGCCCGCGCAAAGCGTTGAATCCAAGTTTTGGTTCCGACCCTTTTTCTGCTGGGGTCACCGTGCAACTGGAATGCCGTTGAAGGGTCCCTACCCAAAAGAGGAGGTGTGTTGAGCAAATTGAAACCACTCCAAGGTCGTGATTCAATGCTTGAGCCCTACGCGGGCGGGGTGTTTTGGCGTTTGAAGATGTTGCTGTTTTTGAAGAGCAGGTAAAGATGTGGGGAGCCTCCACCACCCCCATTGACGCCAGGGTGATTTGCTTCGATCTTCCCGTGCTTGCCATCAAGGCCTTTTCAGTTTCTCACGATGATGGAACCAGCCATTTTTACGGGACCCTTCTATTTTGCGAAGCCCCCCCCTTTAATGACTCCTTTCCTGGGTTTTAAGCACCACCTGTTTGGCCCGTAAAACGGGCGAGCCCTCGCTTTCGGGGGTTTCGGGGCCGCTGCACTCAGGTGGCCCACAAGGTCATGCGCACCGAGAGCGGCACCATGACCAGCCTGGGCGGCAGCCTGGGCGGCACGTGGATGCCCGCGAAGATCCAGACGCAGCCCGCAGACTGGCTCGAAGAGCCGCTTTTTTTCTTTTTTTGTTTCTTCTTCTTTTGTTTTTCGTTGTTTTTTTGTTTATTCTCTTTTTTTCGATTTTCTTGTTGTGTGCGTGTATGTTTTGTTTCTTCCTTTTTTTGCGTGGTTTGTTGGTCCAGGAATGGCATGGCACCAGCGGCCAAGAATTTTATCGGCATCTCAAGGAGAGATAAAACCACGCCACAAGCCAAGGAAAGGCAACGCCAACTTTTGCTTACGTGTCCTTTGGTGTGGTGTTGATTCTTTCCAGGGTTGTGGGATCAAGGGGTTTATCCAACCACTTCTGTGATACAAGGGAATCTCCCCCTTTATATGGGGTGTTAGTCTTTGGGAACCCCTTTTTGTTGTATCACAGAAGTGGGCATTTCCCACAGCCCTGTGTCCCTTGGTGTGGTTTTGATTCTTTCCCTTTGGTGTGCTTGCTTTTGGGTGTTTGGCTTTTTTCTTCCTCGGGGTTTGTGTGTTTTCCTTTTGGCTGGATCTCTGTCTTGTTGAACGGTTTGGTTTGCTTCCCCTTTGTTTGGCTTGATGTTTTTTTTGTGTGTTTGTTGCCATTGGTATGGCTTCACATGTATTTAGTTGCTTTGATTTGTTGTTGGGGTTCCTTTGCTTTCCTTTGCGTTGCTTTGGTGTTCTTTGCTTTGGTGTTCTTTGCTTTGGATTGTTGTTGTTTTTGTTTTGTTTTGGTTTCCGTTTGGTTTCCTGGTTGCCTTGCTCTTTGTCTCGGGTGTCCTTGGCTTGTTTCATTCCCGATTCCCCACCCGACGGGTTTGGGGTTGTTGGATTTGTGACATCTGTGCAGCCAGCGCGATGTGACAGACAGTGACAGAGTTTGTGCCAGAGTTTAGGGAGGCGGACCGCAAGTGGGGACGGACCGCTTGGGTCGAGGGCAAGCAACGCAGCAGGTAGGTAGGCATTTTTCCCGGAACCAGGTTTGCAAGCGCTCCGAGCGTTTTTGACGACAAGTTACGCCGACTTCTCGAGAGCTTTCGTTTTGCGTATTGGGCCGCTTGGCCGTGCTGGTCCCTCGAAAAATCGGATTAGTTTTCCTTTGGTTTGGCGTTTAATTCCTTTTGCCCATGTGTTTTGCTTTGGTGTCATTGGCTTTGCACTTGTTTGGTGTGGGTCAGACCAACATTTGTCAGAATCACTTGAATTGGCAGTCTGTGGATTTGAGCCCCTGACTCTTGTAGAGGGTAAATGGGAACTAACCTCCTCACCTCCAAACCACCACCCCAAACCATCTAGAGAGGAACGGTTGGGAGCAGACAGGGCTTGAAAGGGGGTTCCAGGAAACTCCAGGACTGAAGATACTTGAGCTTATTTGGCTGTGAAATTTCATGGGGAACCCTCTCCAAAGTGGTTGGTGGACATGGATCCCCACCTACATGATGTCCACCAAAATATCTAGGCCCCCCCAGTAGTGCCCTTTTACAATTTTTTGGGGGAGGGCCCCAAAATTTTAGCCTCTCTGCTGGAGAACCTAGATAATATCCCTAATTAAACTCTCTCCTTTCGGGCGACTGATTCCTATGCGACTTTCGGAGGTGATGAGCCCGGTGCTGTCCCCTCAGGCGATGCAGGGGGGGGGGGGGGGGCTGCGGGGTGTTCGGGAGCGGGGGTGTTCAAATGGGGATGTGTCAAAAAAAACAGGGGCCACCAAAAAAAAGGGCCATTCACAGTTGGTGGTGGGCCCAGTGGTGGGCATAACAAAAGGTCTAGCATTCAGGGGTGTCTTAACACGCAGTGGGTGGAAGCTGGATATTGTGGTTTTCTTGGTTTGGTCCCTTGCCCAGGGGTTATGGTGGCCGAGAGTCAAAAGACAGCCAGGGTCTGCCAGGTCAATCCAAGGCTTTACCAAGCAACGGGTTCGTGTCGCGGTGGCCTATTGACCATAAGTGTGTGTTTTTCGGGCTTTAGAAGGCTTCCGCTTGTTTGGGTCGGTTTTACAAACCAAATACCCACCTATGCCATTGACACATATGAGCAACTGCCCATGTGACGAATAGTAGTGCCGTTGGTTTCAGGAGGACGAGAAGGGGGGACAACCAAAATCTCCCACAAAACCAGGGGGTGCAACCCAACCTTCACTTGTGGTGTGTCAAGATGAGGGCGCTCCCCAAAAGGCGTTTGGGCTCTAGCTCAAATCACGCGCAGGTGCAGCACCGCCCGATTACGGTGCCCAGGCAGGCAGAAGCGAGCTCTGTGTGTGCACTATTTCCTAGGAACACCCCTTTCGGTGGTTTTTCGGGGAAACCAAAAAGGGGAAACACTATTTTGTTGGTTTGTTTTTTAAACAGGAAGCCAAAGGAACACCGCCATTTTTGTTCGGGGAGGGAGCGACCCACGTCTTGAAATCCACCTTGGGACCAACTTCTCAGCGTCGCCCCAAAACCCACCGGACATGGCTTCAACTTAGAACCAACAACACCTACACAAGAAAATAAGAGACACACAGAAACCAACACCTACACCAAAAAACAAGCGACACACAGAAACCAACAAAAAGGCTTCAACTTAGAACTGACATGGCTTCGACTTAGAGCCCATCACCTACACAAGAAAACAAGCGACACACAGACACCAGCACCTACACGGAAAAAAAAAAAAAAAAAAAAAAAAAAAAAAAAAAACGACACACAGAAAGAACAAAAAGGCTTCAACTTAGAACTGACATGGCTTCGACTTAGAAACCATCACCTACACAGGAAAACAAGCGACACACACAGAAACCAACAGAAAGGCTTCAACTTAGAACTGACATGGCTTCGACTTAGAAACCATCACCTACACAAGAAAACAAGCGACACACAGAAACCAACAAAAAGGCTTCAACTTAGAACTGACATGGCTTCGACTTAGAAACCATCACCTACACAAGAAAACAAGCGACACACAGACACCAGCACCTACACGAAAAAAAGCGACACACAGAACCAACAACAAGGCTTCAACTTAGAACTGACATAGAAACCATCACCTACACAAGAAAGCAAGCGACACACAGAATCCAACAAAAAGGCTTCAACTTGGAACTGACATGGCTGCGACTTAGAAACCATCACCTACACCAAAAAATCAAGCGACACACAGAAACCAGCAAAAAGGCTTCAGATTAGAACTCCAACTTAGAAACCATCACCTACAAAGCAAGTGACATACGCACGCACGCACGCACGCACGCACGCACGCACGCACGCACGCACGCACGCACGCACCCAGCCACACACACACACACACCCACACCCACACACACAACCCACACACAAAAACCCACACACACACAAAAACCCACACACACACACACAACCCACACACACACAACCCACACACACACAACCCACACACACACAACCCACACACACACACAACCCACACACAACCCACACACACACACACAACCCACACACAACCCACACACAACCCACACACACACACACAACCCACACACAACCCACACACAACCCACACACAACCCACGCACAACCCACACACAACCCACACACAGCCCACACACAACCCACACACAACCCACACACAACCCACACACAACCCACACACAACCCACACACAACCCACACACGCACGCACGCACGCACGCACCCACACACACACACACACAAACAGACACACAGACACACGGACACACGGACACACACACAGACACAATCCCTCGTTCCTGAGTAAAAATAAATCTGAACTTTGTGGTGGCCAGAAAACTAAAATGAATATATTGAAATGACAAAATATTAAAACATATCACAATTATTCAGAACATTGGTAAAAGTAGGACATTGGTTTCTATCGTATCTTCGCCCCTTGTGGCATGCCGACTTCGGCCGTCGCCCGAAGCCGAATTCGCGAGGACGGTCCAGAGCCCCGTGAGCCCTTCCTGGTACACCCAGCCCTTTGTGCAGCAGGCGATGGGCCGTGACCGAACCACGACCCGAACCAAACGGCCAAGCAAAAAAGACGGGGAAGTTTCACCCATTGGATATGCGTTTGAGAGAAGAGCCGCACATGTTAAAAAAGGAAAAGAAGAAAAACAAAATCACCAACTCAAGAACTTTTTGGGGGGAAGAACCTAACATGTTTCAGGGAATATGTTGGATACCTGATACCCTTTTCGGCGCTGAATTTGGGCATGTCCTTCATTGCCGCGGATGTATTGGGTTTCCTCGATTTTCAGTCACCACCTTGTCCATGCTGTCACTGCTACTGATTCCTTTGCTGTAAACACTGCCTGAAACTTTTAGCAGTGAGCTCAGCCACTGCTGGCTTTGCTTGTCCTGTTGCTTTGGCCGCTCAACTCGAGTGGCCGAAAGCCCGCGCGCCCGCCTTCGTTTCGGAAGGTCGAAGGGCCGAAGCGAACTTTGCTTTTTTTCAGGCGCCGGTGATGTGGCCGACCGCCATGCGGTGAGTCTCTGAGTGCAGGGAATTTCTTTGAATAATTCTTAATTCAACCACTCCGGCCCAGGACTCCGAACTGACCAGAGCCCAGGAACAGAGCTGGATCAACTTTTTTGGAGTGTCCTGGGCCCAGGAATTATCGGCCTGAGACAGTTCGACATGGAAGCCTCCCTTCAGGACTCAACTGGAGCCCGAGAAGCGCCGTGTTCAACATCTTCAGCACTCGATTCTTTGCCCACCAAGGTTTCACCTCAGGGATCGTAGGATTTTCGGTTGCCATCCGGGAATGAAACAGCGGCAGCGTTGTGAAGTGTTGGTGTCCTGTTGACGCACATGGTGGTAGAGGCAACAACAGCAAGGCAGGCGTTGGGTGGAAGCATTGGGCCATTCTTGTCACGGTCATGCGCTGGCCATTCTCTTGTCCGGCCAACATGAAACAGCATGGGATTAATTATGCACATCATGCGCGGTTCTCGCAACCGCTTCCTTCAAAGCCAGCTCGAAAGGGCGTTCACTGTTAGGTCCCCTAGTGGTACCCTTTTGCCCTTTTTGGGGGAGGGTTCCCCTACTAAAATAGACCACAGAAAAAAGGGTACCCTTTTTCTAACCTCTCTACTGGAGGACCTAGACTGTCTCAGGCCTTTGCATGGCTCATATCACTCACTGAAGTGATGTGCTTACGAAACCGCCTCCGGCGACACGAAAACGCCGGAGCGAACCAGATCGGAGGCTGCGGGCGAACTGAGAAGCATGGGATTTCTGCACTACGCTTGCACATCGCTATGTGTCAACTCGTGGACCGACAACGCGGTGGTCTTCCTTTGGGGTTCCGGTCGAACCAAGGTGAAAGAGGGGGTGGCCTCCAAACATGCCTTCTCATTTTTGTTGTTTCATCCTTTGGGGTTCCGGTTGAACCAATGTGAGAAGGGGGGTAGCCCTTTTAAACGTCCCTTCTGTGTTCGTTTCCTCGGTCAGCCCAGCGGGGGTTGGAGGTGCCCACTTTGCAGCCTCGCCTCGGAGCCCCGGCGAAAGGGTTTCGCGGTGTGCCTGGCAAAGCAGAAGAATCCGCGCTCCCACTCGCAGGATCAATCAGTTTCATCATGAGAAGATGACAGTGTGCAGGATCACTGATCAAGGCTTGGATGGTCTACTGGTCAGTACTGCAGAGAGGCGAAATACGAGCGCATCATGTTCGAGGTTTTTAAAACGAATACCACAATCACAGCGTTGCGTTCGAGTGGGAGCTGTTGGTTTTGAACACAGCCACATGCTCCCAAAAAAGGTTTTGTCCAGTGCGCCCTTTTCGAGTTTTGTCACAGTAAGTGTTGGCATGTGTGTGCTTTGGTAATTTCAACGCCCGCCTTGAAATTCGGTCGAGTAAAGGGCAACGCGCGAACACACTAAGCCGCCAATTCGATGGCGAATTGGGCCAGTCCCTCAGCATTCACGAAGCCAAAGGGACAACCCACAGAGCGATGTTTCAGCAACGCGTGTCAGCCCCACTTTTGGCTGAGTTGTTCTCTGCGAAGTTGGGAGCTCGGGTTTCCAGCCGAGTACTTGGCTCGCCCCACACGTGGAAAGAGTCATTGGCAGAGCTCCGAGGCCCTGGGTCAGCTGAAGGGGTTGTCACACGCAAGAGGTCGGTGCCGGAAGGCAGCGGGGCCTTGGTTTTCTTTTGAGTCGAAGGCGTTTGTCGATTTTTGGTTCCAACCCGGCGACCCGCTGGCGACTCGCCGGGGCTCGGAGTAAGCAAAATGCGCCCCCCCCTGATTTGCTTGCAGGAAAAAGCCAAGGCAGCGCGACAGTTGCAGGTGGAAACCTCGCGTTCTAGCACAAGTCGCTTGCACCAAAGGGGTGCTTGTGGAAGCCGAAAGGAATCCATTTGTGATCGAACTCATTGAACAGGTCGCCCGCAAACAAAAACATGATGGAAGGAGGGGCTCGGTCCCACTTAAGCGTGCCATCCCTACGGCGAATTAGTCAGGCAGGCCATCCCCTGAAAAAATCCACGACTGCTTTAAACGTCCTTTGCACCTCGCCTGTTTTTTTGCAGCTAAAGCCATTTTTTTGCGCCTTGCAATGAGCCATGGCGCGCTATTTGACAGAAGATTCCACAAAGCTAGTTCCACCCCAACATGTCTTGACACAAGACAGTTTTGGTGTGAACTTGGTCCACGCCAAAGTAGCGTGAAAGCTTGTTTCCAGCGCGAGCGAAAGCACGGTTTATGCCACGAATTTTGACACCGGTGAATCTATGTGTGTCAGCCTGTCCTTTGGCAATCCCTCTGCTTGTTTTGTTGGAATGGAGGTCAAGGATTTTGCATTTGGTCCTGAGTTGCGGCAACACTGCACCTGGCAAAACACACGGAACATATGACACAAAAAACCTTTGGAACCCCAGGGCATCAATTTAAGTTTCAATTTGGTTCCCGAATGTGACTCCAAAGAGAGTGGGTGAAATGGATGAAGCAAACTCATGTGAGACACAATCAAAACCCGGGTAGATGAAGGTTAGTAAGAGACAATCCCAACCATAAAAAGCTGTGCCCGCCTTCTTAATTCCTTACATAGATGTGACCCAGAGAAGTGTCCTTTTCCCGTGATTGAATGGGACGGATGCCTATCCACCCTGAAACAATTGAAGGTCCGTTCCTTCCATTTTTGCGTGTTTTCATTTTCCCTGCTTTCAAGGCAAGCGATTTCACTGGACATGTGTTGTTCTCTTATTTGTTCCAGAGGACGAAAAACGCCAATGGAAGGTTCAGAAGGACATGCATGTCGCTAGAGGAAATAGAAAGCCCCTTTGTTTGGGATCGCGTTTCGGTTTCGCCGTTCGGTTCTGGCCCTGGTCCCTTTCCTTGGCGCTCCAGGAACCTTACAGGGACGAGCCGTTACGAACCTGGAGTCTTGGTTCAAGACGACACAATTCTCTGCAGCAACAAACAAACTAGCCATGGTTGTAGCCAAAGTCGGCACGTCCAATGGGTCCCCAAAAACGGCCTGGCATTCGAATCTTCTACTGCCATGGTGTTACCCAACTCTGTGGGCCTTGAACGGGTCCCCGGTTGCTGGTAGAGGGGAAATGGGGCACTACCTGGATCGCCAGTTGCTGCTTTTTGTCCATCCACTTTACCCCAAAAACCACAGTGACATCGCAACTTGGCTATCTCGGTACCGCATTTCACCACCCCATCCCATTTCACCACCAAACCACCAATCCATTGTTGTCGTTGGGACACATTTCGCGTTTTTGCTTATTGTGGTTTAGAGGGAAAAATCCCCACTTACCCGCAACTGCCAAAAAAAAGCGATTTTATTTGCTCCCCAAACCCAACCGTCAACCCAGAATCCTCGAGTTCTCCGCTTCGGCGCTCGAAACTCCGAGCGACCGAGCGACTCGCCAGGACCAAGCAGCCCGCCCTGCTGATCTTCAGCGCCTGGCCGGGGGCTCGTCTCGAGACTCGAGGGCCCCGGGAAGCGGAGGCCCGGCTTCAAACAGCGGCCGGCCAGCGGCTTTTGTCCATGGGGTCAACTTATCTAATGCGCTCAGTATGTCAGATGTGCATAGATAAATTCATATATATATATGTATTATTATAGAGTGTGTATGTATATATATATATATACATATTGTATTTTTGTTTATATACTATGCAACTATGATTATTGGTATTGTTCTTGCGTGTGTTTTGGAGTTGGTAGCCATTGGGGGGTGGTAAGGGACACCAAAGCGCCAAACTCCATTTTCCGCAAATTCCCGATCGGGTGCCCTGGAGCTTCAGCCTGGAAATGTTCTGCGCGGTTTGTACCAGTGCCTGGCTGAGTGGCTTTGTGAATTGAATTGAAAAACAACTACAACAAAAAACAACAGCATGGGGCGAAATTCCATGGGTTCGTGCAACCGCCTTTCCGGTTGCACACCTCACGAGTTCTTTGCAGGCCGCAAGTTGAGATATTGCTTCCAGCAGAGACCCGGGTCTGATTTGTTCTGTCCGAATCCCTGCCCGTCAACCAGAGACCTTCGAACGGGGAGCATTCGGGGCGTGGCGGCGTAGCCCCCTTATTTTCACCCCTTACAGCGTTAGAAAACGCTGGGGCTTATCTCCTTTCTTCAGCCAAGGGTTACCTCTTGCACCCAAAAACCCTTTCAACCCTTTCAACCCTGGCTTTGCTTATCAACTGGGCCTTTCCAAGGATAACCAGCCCCCATAGCCCCCCCATAGCCCCCGGTCCATGCCAGTCCTTGCGTGTGATGCTATGGATGGACTAAATCCTCGGCACCACCTAAGAAACCCAAAAAGGAATGATGATTTCCCTCGTACATACCAACAAACAATGGTGTCAACCATGCTTTCAAAGTGGTGGGAAATGGATTCCGTCCATCCACAATGTGTGTGTGTGTGTGTGTGTGTGTGTTTGGCTCGAACAGCTTGGTTGGCCACGTCCCGGCTACCGTCGAGCTGTAGCTGAGATGACAATGCGCGACCTACCAGTGCAATTGATATGTGAGTGTGGTGAAGGTGCTCGACTCGTCCAGGAGGGTGGAGAGCCTGTGATGTGCATGGATTTCAGTCTGTCTGTCAAGCTTCCCATCTTGCAACTGTTGAAATCCTTGACCACATACAATGAGCCACCTGAGGCGAGTAAAGCGATGACAGGGGCTAAAGAGGTGAGCTGGGAGGAGGAGTTTCACGGAAGGCAGCCAAGCTTCGAAGACTACGCTGGGCGGCACCAGTGGGTTCCGTGCCCGGAGATCTCTGTGTGCCTGGAGGACGATGAGGGCTTGCAGTCCCTCAACTTCAGGCCTTTGCCGCCCCCCACCAGCACGGAGTTGACCCATGGCAACCAAGCGGATGTGTGGAAGGCGAGTGGGGACAAAAGCTACTTCCGCCGCAGTGATCCGGAAGACCAGGCCATGCAAGAAGCCCACGGACCTCTCTCAGAGAGGGACGTGGGGCCGGGTATACAGCCACCTCCCAAGCCAGGTCCTGACACCTGCCTGCCAATGTAAAAGGGCCCTCGATGCGATGCGGGGGCGGCGGGGGGTTGTGGGGGGGGAAAACGTGACAGCGAATGCCCAAGAAAAGCGGAGGTATACGGAGGTTCTTTCAACTGCACACTCTGGTAGAACACCGCTACGATCCAACGGTGCAGCATTCAAATGGGGGCCTGATTAGCCATTACGAAGTTTAGGAGTGTACCTACCGACGAGGAACGCGAGGGTTTATACTGTCTTTTGCCGGCAGCAATTGAAGCATATAGCTGCAAGACAATCACTTTGTTTAGATACTCAATGAGGACCGCTGAACAGATTATATCCAGAGGTCATCATTTGTTTGCCTGCGTTTGAAAGCCACTGAAGTCAGAATTCACGCTAGTTACAAACGGATTCCAGCAAGCTTTGGCGTTGGTGCACTCACCAGCCCCGCTGCTAAAGTTACAGGGGCGTGCATTTGCATTTGTATCAACAGCAGGGACCCTTTGTGGGATGTTTTTGAGTGGACACTTTACTTGAAGCCAACCATTCGTAGGCTCACAGCACCCAAAGCCTTAAATGGCTAAGTTGTTCATCCAACGGAGGCTGACATTTGCCGGCTTTGCCGGACTGTCATTTGCACACGAGCAAAGCTCGTTTCTGGCGAGATCATCCTTTGGCCCTTTTTTTCAGCGGATGAACCAAGCGCAAGCAAGCGGAAGCAGCTTTGAGTCGCGCGAGTCGCGGAGGATCGATAAAGTGGCCACAGGCTAGCAACCGGCGGGGTGTTATTTCACCGGGACGCCACGAATCCCACGAATCTGTTAGAGGCTGCACCATCAAGCTGCCATAGGTTGTGCTTCGTTGCCAACCACCAGTGACTGGTTTAGGCAACACAGTGACTGACAAGGCTGTTGGGGAGTCGAGCTCAGTGCTAAAGTTCTAGGTCCTGCGTTTGACTTTGGTTCTTGAACTGATGAGCCCGTACCGTTTCGAGCATATGGCTGTGCGTCAAAACCAAGGGTACCATTTTGGGGTGGGTGAATTCACCACCCATTTTAGAACCGATTTTAGTGGTTGGATTGAATCGGATGTTCACTGGGGGCTAACCGATTTGGATTTTGACCCATGGCCATATGGCCGTTACGGAGCTCAGCTCCGTGGTGTCCCAGGCTCTCGTTTTCTCACAGCTCGGACCCCTAAAAAGTCAGACTCATGTGTGTCGCAGCTCGGACTTTGGACGGATTTGAAAGGAACACACCCTGAAACCATGAGGCGTCCTGAGCTTGATACGTCTCGGAATAGCCTATTTGAGAACAAATCGATACTACATAGGCAACAGGTAGGGTGTATTTAGTGCCTGTTTCGATGTTTCTGTGGTCAGGAGTGCCATTCGGGATGTTTTGGGTGTTGGGGTTTTGGCGGGTGTTTTGAGTGTCTGTTTTTATCTTCTCGGTGTTTTTGGTGTCTGGTCAGTGTTTTGGGCGCCTGGTGCCGGGGGTGGCAGGCGGGTGTTTTTGGCGCTCAACACCTCGTCTTTCCTCGGAACAAAATGCAAACTCGTCAAAGGATATTGACGCTTGCACCCAAGCAACATGTGTTGTCTCCGATTTCGCTTGCACCGATCACCCAAACTCGACCAGGTTGGGCATCTTCGCGGCGTTCGGCTTCGGGTTTCATCTCAGCTACCAGGCCGTGCGCTTTGGAGTTAGACAAAAGGGCGGTGAGTTGCTCAAGTTGGATGTGTTTTGCGCTTCTGTCATTTGCTTTTTAGTGTTCTTGACGTGTTTCTATGTTTTTGAGCGGGTTTCTTGAGTCAAGCATCGTTGCTCGATTCCATGAACATCCCTTAAGAGGCGTAAGAGGCGCCTGCCTTCCCATGATTGCACTCTTCTGGGCCTGGTTGGTACCTTCCGTGAGAGGGAGCGAGGGTGCCCATCACGTCGGGTTGTTGAACATCAATCTTGAATCCTGCCAGATCCAATGCTGGAATTCCGTGAATGTGCTTCGTTTGGGAGGGACACGGGACAAGTTTCCCGCACTCAGGGGACTCAGGATTCCCATCAGAAAAGTAGGCTTGACTGGCTCATACCTTCGGCGAGTCCCGGGTTTCGGGCTCGACAGGTCACTGAAAGGCCTCGAGCGTGAGACAATCGCGGAAGCGGTTTGGCACTATGATGCGGTCAATGTCAACCTCGGATTACCACCCCCGTGGTCCACTGGTGGTCTTTTTTTCTTGGGTGGTGTCCCCTTTAGGTGGGGAGTTCTCACTTTTTGGGGGGAGCACCCCCCTACTAGTAGAACGGGTATTTAATCCGGGGTTCCCATCAACCTTGCTTTGCAAGTGAACTAGCCTTCACCTGCCTGCTTACCGCAAAAAATGCTTGCAATTTTTGGACCTTGGACACGTATGGTTTGTTTCCCCGGGCCAATCTTTGTTCCATTTTCAGGTCGGCCCTGAAAGTCCGCCCAAAAGCCATCGGTTTCTTGGACCGGGAATCCTTGGTGACAACCTGTCTCCTTCCGAGGCGGGTAAACATGTCTGGTTTGTGGTTTTTCACCCACCGCCCTTGGATACCGGCAAGATCTTATGTCTTGGTACCCCTGCTCATTCTTTTCTGCGACAACAGTAAGGTTATATGGGTTTGGGTCAAAAGACGGGTACTTTTTAGATGGTTTTCCGTTGGTTTCCCTTTAAAGCCCTCCAAAAGGATAAAGCCTAACTCGGAAATATAAGTATGTTCAAAATCAATCCACCAGGGGACCACAGGTTTTAGTCTTTGTTTCCATTTACCTGGGTTCCAGTTTGGGTACCTATTTTTGACCCACACCCATATCGTGCGCGCAAAAAAGCACAGACTTTCCAAGTCTTGGCGGAAACCGCAGGTCATCGTTCTGCATTTGGAGGCGATCCTCGCAATTGTTGGCCTTGCCATGCTCGGCCTCGAGGCGCGCGGTTGAGGTCAGGAGATCCGCATGCTGTTCCTTTGGAGGATTTGGTCGGAACGGCTGGTTATTTGGTGGGTTGCCTTGGTGTGGGGTGATTGCCCCGTTGAGGTCGGTGTCCTCTCACTACCAAAGGTGTCCTTGACAAGTACAATGGGGTTGCGTGGAACTTTAAGACCAGATGTGATTATGAGATAGTAGTCGAGGATTGTTACTCTGTAGCGCCTTATTTTCATTAACACCCATTATCCTCACGGGACCCTTGCTCAGGTTCCATGCGTGTCTTGTATTGGAGGGCAATGACGTGCTGACAATATTGTTGTTAGTCTATACCATTGGTTTGGGAGAGAGAAGGAGACTACCCAAATTGCTATCAAAAGTGATGCAGGAGGCCCAAGCACGTTTCTCATCAAACCAGCCTTGTCAGATGGGCGACTGAACAGGAAGCCTTTCCAAGTTCCGTCATCTGTCTTGAAATGGGGGAACTCCCAGTTTGGGTGTTTTTCCATCTGGTTTTCAACCAACCGCAGGTTGGGTACACTCCCTTCCATAATCTTAGAACAAAACAAGCTTTTTTGTATTATGGGGGGGGTTCCAGGTTAGTTGAAGCCCTTCGGGTGACCCAGTAAGTGCCAGGAAGTATCTTGACTGCTATTGGGTTGGATCTTTAAACTTCAACTTCTTGGTTAAAATCAAGTGGGGTTTTCCGCTAAACCCCCCAAGAAGTGACACTTTTTGCAGGGGGGTCGTTGCAGCAACCAAGTTCCATCCACTTTACCCCACGAAACCCAGGAACGGTGACTGAGAAAAGGCAGCGACTTGGCTAGGAGAAGATGGGTACCAGGTTAGTAGAAGCCTTTTGGGTGACCCAGGAAGTGCCAGAAAGTATATGGGTGTGGGTCAAAAAATAGGTACCCCCAATTGAACCCTGGGGAATGGAAACAAGGACTAACAGTTGTGGTAAACCGGGTGGTTTATTCTTGATCCATACCCATACAAAGACACCTCCACGGGAAAACCATCCGACATAGGCGGCGCTGCTGGCCGCGGTGGGCAGCCTGGTCGCCCGCACGGCGCTGGACGGAGAAAAAGTACGGGGGACGTGCCTCTCACTTTGCTCAGGGGAGTTCCTTAGGTTCGCGAGTTTTTTTATTCTTCCCGTTTCTTGTGTTTCTTATTTTTTTTGTGTTGTGAGCAAACTCAATTTTGCGATGCGAGCAAAGCCTCTTCGTCATGGATGCTCCTAGTCTTAGAAAGGTTACATAGCAATCCGAGTTGAAGTATTGAGTCATTGAGTCCTGAGTTCTCCGCTCTATCCAGCATTCTGGGCTCACATCGCCGATTCCCCTCCTGCATTTTGAAAAGATTTTGGCGCCATCTTGTCCCCCTCCATTTTTGATGCGCCCCACAAGCTAAACAACTCAGACCCTTTAGGGTGTCCTATGTCCCGATTGCTTGCACTGGAACCTGCATCCGAAAGGGACAAAAAACCGCGTTAACAGGTCAGGCCATAGGTCACCCTGCGGATCACCCACCAAAATGTTTGTCACCACCAAAATGGGCACCGGCCACCGTTTCGGTTGTTCGGTTTTCGGTTTTGTTCGAGGAGCGTTTGGGGCTGCTCTTGGGCTGTGCTGCCACCATGGCAGCCCTCGCCGGGAGTCTCAGACGTTTGAGTTTTAAGTTTGAAGCGGGCGGCAGTGGACACATAGTTGCTATAGTTCTTCAAAGCGGGCAGTGTTAAGAACCGCTTCAGGAAGTGCAATGAAGCGCATAGGAGCTTTGGCAAAGTGATTTTAAGCCAGCTCTGTCTTAGCATCACCGTGCACGTGTTCTGGCTAGCGCGGATCTTGAATGTTGCTTGGCGTTTGTGTGCATGTTTCACAGATGCTTGATCCTCGAAGGGCTTGGACTCATGATGACCATGCTGATCTTCGGAGTATTCCAAATCCTCTCTTTTTTTCTTTGGCTGATTGTCTTGTGTTTCGCGCGCGAGAGAAGTCTATTGCTTGTTTGGTCAGTTCCCTATGGCTGTGCTGGCGTACGACAAATGCCGCCTCGCAGACCTGCGACAGTCTACCCAACCATCGGATCGGAGAGCCTCCCAGTTTAAACTTCACTGTTCTTGGATCATGTTTTTTTGTTGTTTCTTGGTTCTGTTCGTTTTTCCTGGGGGTCTGCAAAAAAACAACATGTGTTTTGCTACCATACCAAGAGTAGAGATGTTTAATCATCAGATCCAGATTTGACATGTGGCCTTATTGGTGATTGTCCATCCATGTCACGTTGTTTAACCCGGAAAGGGCGACTCCGAAGTCGGGATCCGCCCGTGCAACACTCCATGCCTTTGTGTGTGTGTGTGTCAAATGTGCTCGTCTCACGAGTGCTGGCGTGGCACACACGACACGCCAGTGTGCCATGGGTTTTCTTGCTTTCGTGGTTCATTTCCCCAAATGGAGACGCTGAGTGGAACCTTGCTCAGCGGCTCAGAACGGATCGCGAAAATTCGTGCTACACGCTATTTGTGCCATGCGAAAAGATGGGTTTCTGGCAGCCTTCTGCTTAACGTCCTGGCCTTCTGGGGGACCCGGCACCGCATCCCGTCAGATCGGGAGTCCGGGAGTCGGGAGCTGAGGCGGTGGTGGGGTTCCTGCACGCGTCCTTGAACGTGACGGCCTTCCCCGACCAAGACCTGCCCACGAGCATGTTGGCATAGGCCGGGAACCTGGCGACAATGTTTTTTGTCCATTTTGTTTCGATGTTTCGTCTGGCGATCGGTGCGAGAGATGCAGGGAATAAGAAATGGGATGAACCGTTTTGGGAATCCCGTAAAGGAAGCCATAGGAAAAGGGGTCATTGCAGCTCATTCCTTGCCTATCGCACCAGCAAGTAGTTCACACTGACCAATGTTATGCATGCAGAAAGCTTGATTAGCTTTTGAAGGGCTCCAGGAAAAAACACAACGTTTGTTCGCTGTTGGGGCAGGCAGGAAACTGTCCAGGAGTTGGGGCAATATTTTATATTTAAGAATACCAACCGTTCTTGAAGAAACCACAACTAGGTCCCCCAGTAGTGCCCTTTCTCACCCCCTTTTTTGGTAGGGAGGGTTCCCCTACTAAAATAGACGTCCTGAAAAACGAAACGGTACCAACTTAGTCTAACCTCTCAAATCTGGAGGACCCGGACATGAGCGACACATTTGGTTGTATCTTTAAACATGGGGCGGAGCCGCCCACCGCAGGCCTTCCACTGCAGGCCTTCGGAGGCATCGTCTCACACCGGCTGCGCGGCAATGCTGCGCCAAAGAGGTGGTCGGTGTTATGTTTGGGTGAACTTGCCAAGGCCTCGCACGACCGAATTCACCCCAAATGGTGGTTGATATGGGGAATAGCCCCCCTAACCACCTTATTTCAGTTTGGTGAAATATGATCATTCATCCAGTGTTATGGGAGAGAAAACATCCGTTTGCTTAAGACGATTTGTGATTTTCCCTTGCTGGTTTTCAAGGGACTCATAGAGTCTGACGCTTTGAAAATGAATCCAAAGGCGGTGGTGCAAGACCCAACATATCCATTCCAGGGAGTCTTGTGGCTGAAGCTTGAAGAATCCTGTTCTTGAGAGATGTGCTGGTGCGATAGGGAATGACCGAGACCGGGTGTTGGGAAGGAACCGGAAGGGGATTCCCTCAAAAGGAAACCACCAGTCGGATGTGTCATGCCCTGCCTCTTGAACCAGCAAGGAGGGGCTGAGCGATGCGTGGTGCACGCGCTTCCCGGGTGATTCACCATTCCAGTCAGAGGTAGTCTGCGCAGCTTGCCCCTTGCCCACCGAAAAACGGCAAAGGCCTGGTGCCAGCGCTTGAATCAAGCCGTAGAGAGATCTGGACGGAGTGATCCAGATTTGTAGCGAAGGGATCTGGGTGGAAATTCCCTAGGTCCCCCAGTAGTGCCCTTTTACCCTTTTTTGAGGGAGGGATCCCCGATCCTAACATAGACGTCCTGAAGAAAGTGGGTACCAACTTATTCTAACCTCTCAAATCTGGAGGGCCTAGTTCCCACCCTGCGACACATCTGCTCAGTTCTAAGAGGAGTTCTTCAAGAGTCTCTTCAGATGGCTCAGCCTCGGCCGATTCGTCCAGCTGTAGCAAGGCCAATGGCCCCTTGGCTCAACTTGCAACAGCATAAGGTACTCTCCCACCAACTAACCTGGAAGTGCACCAATCCCCTTTTCAAGAGGAAAGTTGTCTTTCTACGGGGGTTTGTGCAGTTCCACTAAGAGCAAATCCATTGGACAGAGACTGTGACCTTTTGATGAGGTGGCAGCCAATGGCTCAACTCCTGAGCCTTGTTTCATGCACTGTATTCGATTCAGCTAGATCTTTGCATCAGGGGTGCTTTCTTTGACCATTCAGACCCTTGCGCTTTTCCGGGGTGCCGCACTGGACAATTCTTTGATTTCTTGCGCCAGCCATGGGGTCATCCTCGAGCTGTTGCGAGAAGAGCGGTCGCTTGGATGCAGCTGCGGAGACGGTGGCTGCGCCGAAAGCAGCTGAAAAGGAGAAGGAGCCCGAGTGCTGCCACAAAGCGACTGAAATGGACGTAGCTCCAATGTGGAGTGCAGACTTGGAGGGCCTTCAGCTCGATCACCTCAAGGCGGGAATCTCCCTTTGCGTCAGCAAGGGGCTGGTTCCAACCCTCTCCTTTAAAGCACCTCGATGTTTGCTGCTTTGGGTGCGCCTCGCGCTGGTTTTGCGCAACTCGAGGTTGGAAAGTGCGCCCAGCAAAGGATTCGTTGGATTTGACATGTGGGCGTGTCCTTTCGTTGATGGTACCTCTGATTGCTGGGTTTTAAAGGGAATTCAAAAGGAGAACCACAATCTCGGGGGGTCCCCTAAAGAAGGGTTGTTCAATTGTTGGGGTGTTAGTTTTGGCCAGGGCTGCCCTGCATGACTTGTTCCTTTCATGACAGGCTTCCACTCATACACATGGTGTTGATCCAATAGTCGCCGAGCTTGTACTTTCAGGTTTCGCTCAATCGGAGGTTTGGGATTCGAACGGGTCCCTGGTTCCTGTTGAGGGTAAATGGCATGCTACCCCCGCACTGCCAAACCACCAAACCAAACCCCCAACTAAGGGAAAACTGATGCTTGGCTTCCATTTGCTTGAGAATATTTGTTATTTTCCCTTGTTGGTTTCAAAAGGAATTTATCACTACTGGACATATTTGTATTTTTTCCAGGGGTCTTAACCAAATGGAAGTTGGCGGGGGTGGAGTTTCATTTCACGGGATTGCGAAAGTGCGACACTGGGCCATGTGCTTCCGGCTTCTGCGAGCTAACAAAGACGCAACAACGGGTTTGGATCAAAGCAGAGGAGATGGCGTCACATCGCGGAACGCACGGTGCTGCGAGAAGAATACATTCCGAATGGCATGAACCCCGCCTGAATGATGTCCACCGAAGGGCTCCCAATGAAAAGTCATGGCCTGAGGTGACATGTTGCCAGGTGCGCTCAGTTTCTTGCGACGGTCAGGCTGTCAGGCCACCAGCTTTGGGTACACCTGGGCTCAACATGGTGAACCCCCAAATCAATTGAGCGGCGGTTTTTTAGCCGCAAGCTAATTTAGTGGGGAGAGGGACATTATGATTGAACATGTCCAAGCAAGTTTGTAGGGAATAAAAACCAACGCTCAATGGGCTTTTTTCGCCTTTTCCCCGGTGGAATTTCGGGATCGGGATCCCAAGCGGCAGTTGCCCAGTCCCAAGAGGCGCCCCTTCGCTCCTTCTCTTGGGTGGCTTCGCCACGAATCCACTAAGCGCCAAGCCCCGACCAAGCTCTTTTTTGCTTTTTTTTTCCCGACCTGCGGGACCCCCGACCCCAAAATGGCCATTGGGCTTCCCTTTATTTTCCCATTTTGGTCCATCAGAACCAACCAGCATAATAATACCCCCCAAAAAAACAACAACACAACCACAACCCTACACTTACCCGAGTCGCCACCCTGTTGGCCTTTGTGGCCAGTCACCCAGTGCCGTCAGGTGCACTCTGATTTGGTGCGCGGCATTTCTTTGGCGAACGCCTTGGGGTCCCGCCGTCTCTGGCACACCTCCCCTGCTGACCTCACGCTCTCAGAGAGGGAGGGCCTTTGGGGCCGCTCTGCCAAGGCCGGCGGAAGGAAAGGATTTAGTTCAATTGTGGCCATAGGTGTCCTTTTTGGTTGATTTGGTTGAAGAATAGAGGGCGATTCCTGGTTTACCTGGTGGTTCAATCAACTACCAGGGCCATCTATTTTCCCCAAAAAGTACGCCTATGCTTGTGGCGCTTACCGCAAAGTTCAGTTGATAGATCCAATCTTGGGCTTTGAGTAATTAGCTGGTCCTTGTTGTTTTTTCTTGTTCCTTTGCGCTTTGATGCTTGGAAGGGAGCCGTGTTGTTTGCGAAGCGATGTCGTCAGCCTTGGGCGGGCCAGGAAAGTGACTAGCCAGATCTCTGAGTGTCCTGTGTTTCTTGAATTGCAGAATGCTTTCCCTTGGCAAGAAGTGGGAGCATAACGTATAACTGGGTCATATCTATGCCTTCTTTGCTCGGCGTGTGGCTTTGCGGCGGAACAGTCTGCGCCAGGAATCCATGTTGGGTTTTTGTTGCGCACACTTCGGCAGTTTTGATGTGGCCCCCACCATGCTTCAGAAGCCTGCGCCCTGCGGTGTGGGTCTTGCTGCCAGGTTGAGTCATTCGACCTGTTCTTTTCGCACACCTGGAGAACCTGGGGCGGATGGAAAGTCCTGACGCTCTCCTTTCACTTCGGTTGGAAATGGATGCTGGTCCTGTGGTTGCTGGCAGTGGGGATATCCGGGCTGCTTTCAGCAGCGGGTCTTTTGCCAGCGCCAATCTCATACACGCCCGGTGAGATACTTTCCTTCCAGGCAAATGCCGACTTCTTCCCGTGGATCTTCCTGTCGATTGCGTGCATCATGGCATTGAGCTTTGCCGCGTTGCCATACATACTGGCCGTCAGCCCTAAGCCGACGATGTGCTTTCTCGACGTGGTGAGCATTCATCAGACGGATGACCACATGATGAGGAAGGGGATCTATGGATTGGGTGGTTTCTTGTCTGTTGCAAAAGAGCTTCATGTTCTTTGGAGCACACCTTACTTGTCACGACTCTTGGCTGCAGGGCGGCGAAATCCACACAGACACATGTGAGTCGGAGAGGACACATGTCTGTTTCACGCGCAGAGGGCTGAGAAGGTGCTTTGCTTACTTAACTTCCTGCCTGAAACAAGGACAGGGCTTGCTCACCTGCCAAAAAGCCAGCAATGACGAGTTTGTCCAGTACAGAAGTTACAAGCGTCGTTTTTTGTTTTTTGGGGTACCCTTTTTTGGGTTTCAAAGGAAAGCCAGAGGGAACGGCAGCCACTTTGGGAATCCCGGTGCAGACAGCCCAGATGCATCGCATCGGATTCGTCTCCGCGGATCACTGGAAAAGGGACAACAGGACCGAAACAGGAAAAGGACACGTCGTTGAATGCGGGTACCCTGTGCGCTGCCTTTTTTGTGCTTTAAACAACCCTAGGTTCCCCAGTAGTGCCCTTTTACCCTTTTTTCAAAATTCCCCTACTAAAATTGGAGGAAACAAAAATGGGAAAAAAACAACGAATACCTTATTCTAACCTCTCTACTGGAGGACCTAGAACCTGCAACAAGAAATCTGCTTCTGGTTGCCCACTGCTCATTACTTTTGGGAAATGCAACACTTGTCACTACAGGTGAGCCACAGTCAAAACTCGGGTAGACGAAGGATTGTAATTGAGGGATACTCCCAACCTTCTTAAGTCTTTGCATGGTTCTGGGTAGATAAATTTTGACTCGGGTAGATTTGTTTGTTCTTGGTGAGGGAGAACTTTTGGGGGTTCTTTTTGAGTGCCGAGGCAGGAGGGTGTTTTGTAAAAAGACTGCGAGGCCGTTAGATTATTTTGCTGCTAGAAGTAGTTCTAGGGGTTGATTCCCCATTATTTTCAACCATCCTTTTCAAGAACCAGTTGTTTCCTCTGGGTCTTGGATGATTTCCTGAAGAGAAGAGTCACTGGAAAGAATTGGGAAGTTTCCCCTAGTAGTCTGCATTCGGTGAAAGGGGCTTCGGCAATCACGGGTCATGGATCATAATTGCCAACAATACATTTTTGGGCATACCGAGGATTGTGGTGCATCTTTGAGTTGGCGGCATTTAGAAAAGCCAATCCTTCCGGGGTGATAGTCTTGAACCCGCTCTTCACGGCTATTCAGACTGCCATTTGGATGGTGGTTTTCTTTGTGGCGACTGGCATCTACATCTGCTGCCTTCTCCTCAGCCAGGGTGCGCTACCTCTTGTAGGCATTGTGTCGCTCCTTCTGTTGCCATCTTTTCATTCCACCCGGAAACACATGCGGGAAAGACACGCCTTGATCTCACAGTTGAAGAACTTCGATGTGCAGTCAGCTGGTTGCCGTTTGGAGAAAGACAGGGAGTTCATCTTGTCCGCCATCCAAAGCTGGTATGGTAGCCTTGACGCCTTTAATGAGCACGTCCGGGGCCCTTTGCGTGAGGAGTTGTTGAAGGACTCCAAGACTGAACTGCCACTCGGCTATGCCTTGCTGGTTTCTTCCGCACCTTCGGCCGTCCCGTTGGATATTTTCACTGTGCTAGTGAGGGCAGGAGCTCCTGCCGAGGTGGTGTTGTGCCAGCTGTTTGTTTGTATGGTGCACGTCTTCTGGCTAGCGCTGGTCTTGAATGTTGCCTGGCGTTTGTGTGCACGCTTTGCAGCTCGATCCTGGAAGGGGTTGGACTACGTGGTGACCATGCTGATCTACGGAGTAGTCGTCCTTTGTTATATTCTTGGGCTGGCTGCCGTGCGGCGCGCGCGCAGTCGAAGTCTTCTCGCCACGCTGGCCTGTGCTGTTGCTTCCTTGTCGCTTGCACTGGCTGTTTATGGCAAATGCCGTTGCAGAGCTGCCCGCTTGGATGCTGCACTCGAGGCGTAATCCAGGTTCAGAACACATGGCCTTGTTCCCATGGATGGCTTCAGGTAAATGAAAACCCTGCGATGCCAGGGCTTTCCATCGGACCGGGGCAATGCTCAGGTCTCTTGAAGGGGCCAGATGTGGAGCCTCGATTTTTCATGGTGGATCTCGGTTGGCTGCGCAGAATCGCTCTGTAAGAGCTACTAGTGCTGAATGGGCGGCATGTCTTGAATTCCACATGTGTTTTCTTTGCCTTTCCTCGGAGTCGACTTACAGCCAAGGGGGATTACTTCCGAAAAGAAGACCGAGTTTCCGCGTTTCAGCCTGCCCCGGCCTGAGCTCCTCGGCCTGAGCGCCACTCATTTGGCCGTGGGTCAATGGGATCCCAGTTTGGCAGGTGAATTCACCACCCACGTTTCGTCTTTTTTTAGTTGGGATTGGTTGATGTTCACTGGGGGTACGATTTGGGTTTTGACCCATAGCCATTTGTTGGCCACTTGCCGGGCGCTGGGGCTGAGGCAGCGGCTTTGTATATTTTAAGGAACGTGCACCGAATCGCGACTGTCCGAAATGGAAAGGCGGGCAGCGTCGGGAATGCCCAAGCGTGGTGTCTGGTGGTTGCGGAGGATGGCTGAAGACTTTCTTCATTTTTGTAGAATGAGACGCGTTCAAAGGTCGAGAGCAGCGAATACCTGCACCCGGAAGTTTTGTGGCTCAAGCGTGGGCTGAAGAATCCTGTTCTGATAAGAGAGGCCCGGCACAATGCATGCATGGATCAAGTGCTTGCTGTGTGCTGCGCCAAGCAATGTGTCGGGTGTCCCTTTTTGTGTGATCAGTTTGGGATCCAGGCCAGAGCGATATTTCGAGTGACCCTAGAGTGACATACGGGGATTGATCAAAAGATCCTTTACATGGGATGACCATTTCGGGAAACCTCTAAAGCATGCTGTTTCTCTGTAAATGGGAAAAGTTACCCATCGTCATTTGGGGGCCGAACGGAATATTGATCAACCTCTATATATATATATATATATTATGAATGGCTACCTTTGGGGGCATTCTCACCAATCGAATATATATATATATATATATATATACATATATATATATGGTACCCCCCCCCCCCAAAAAAAAAAAAACAAAAAAAAAACACCTGGTTTGGTGAGCTTGAGCCGTGTTTTTTCAGTGTTTCATGCCTTGTTTTGCCTCGTTGATTTTGTGGCAGAATCTTGGCCGGTTTAGGGATGGTTTGTTTGTCTTCGAGTTGTTTTCCTTTTTCCTCGTCTTCTTCCTGTCTGCCTTCCTGCTCGCGCTCCTCGTTCCACTCACGCAGTTTGGCTTGACGTCCTCTTCCTCTTCCGTTGCTTCCACGCGCATCCCCTAGGCCCCTCGCAAGTTTTGGTCTTTGTTCCCGTGTTTGCCCGGGCGGGATGCGTCACACGCGATAACAAAAGGAACCCCAAGGAACCCAAGGAAATCCAGGGAACCCGAGGAACAACACAACCTGAGGAGCCCCAAGGATCCCGAAGGGCTCGTTTGGAGCAACTCCCCGAAGCGCTGCGGCAGGAGTCATGGCACCGGCAGCGTCCAAAGCTCAGAGACCTTCTAAGGGAAGCTGATGCAGGGAATGAGAAATGAATGGAATGTGCATGTGAATCCCAACCCTAGCAGCGGGCGCCCGGCCGATGGACCCTTGTAAACCATCCAACTGGTGGCTTCCTTCAAGGGAGTTGTTCTGGGTCCCAACAAAAACGTCGCTCGTTTGCAACATGATGCTGCAAAAGTGAAGGACAATTCACAAGTTCCCCGAGGAAGGCAAGCAACTTGTGCTCCGGGCGCGAAGTGGATTTTGCCTCCAGTATGCATGTCTTCTCAAAGCGGTACTTGCGCTGCTTGGGAGCTCCATTTGCGTTGGCTGTTGTGGCCAACCGTTCCGTTATTCAGTGGAACTCGCCCCACTATTCGCTGGGCTGGCCAACCAGCTTAAGCCAGCGGAGTATGCTTTTATCGCTTGAGACCGTCCTTTGATGGCCATTTGGATCTCAGGGGTAAACCCGAAGCTGGCTGAAATTCTAAGGTTTTTCGCCTTGGCGAGGCTAGGGGACCGGTTTGCGGCTTCTCGCAGGGCGATGGCCACACGATCAAGGTGCCTGTCCCTGCAACCATTTCTTCCATTTGCGTAAGAAGATTTGTTTTCCCTTTTGGTTTTAAAGGAAAGTTGTCACTGCTGGAAATATGTTTTTTCAGGGGGCTTAAGCAATTGGAAGCTTTTGTTTTCCCGCATCGTTAACCTTATTTCCAGGTCCTTTGGGCAAGTGGGACCCCGCAAAGTCTGTCCATATGCTCAACCGGCACATTCCCTTGCCGGCTGCATCCGCGACTGCGCAAAACAAATCATCGCTCCGGAAATGAGTTTGCTTTCCGCCGGAAGCCGGGTTACTGGATGTGTTTTTGTGGGGTGCATGGGGTTGCGCCCCAGTTGAAGCCTACCGAACAGGTGCTGCCCCATGGGTGATTTTGACTGCGGTGAAAGTCAGAAAGTGGTTGGTGCTCTTTACCTAGGTCCCCCTACCCTTTTTTGGGGAGGATTCCCCGACTAAGATAGACTACAGACCAAAGGGGTTCCTTATTCTAACCTCTCTACTGGAGGACCTAGTAAACCTTCCACTTGAAAATCACTCTACTGGTAGAAAACTGGGGACAGAAAACCGGGGAAAACCCGTTTTCACCGAGGGCAGGGCACCCCGCCTACTACTTCGGAGCCTCCGGCGTCTCTGCCCTGGCCTTCTTCCCGCTGTGGAAGGACTCGGACTCGCGGTATTCTTTCGGACGGGGGGTGCAAAGAAAAGACTCAGTCTAGAGTCTAGGTCCCCCTTTCAGTGGGGATTCAGACCACTTTTGGAGGGAACACCCCCCCAAAACATGGGACAGGTTTATTAATCAGGGGTCAATATTAGGTCCCCCAGCTAGGTGCCCCTTCGAGCACCCCTTTTTTGGTTGGGAGGGTTCCCCTACAAAAATGGACTACAGAAAAAATCGGGTACCCTGATTCTATCCTCTCTACTGGAGGACCTAGCAGTTGTTCAAAGCGAATAGACCTGAACTGACCTTATGTTTTTTTCTTCCCATTTTGGCAACCATTTTTAGTAAAGGTCCCAAAAGGTGAACCTTTTTGTTTCTGGGTCCTTTGGGCAACTGAAGAACAAAGTGTCACCAGGTCCGAAGCAAAGGGAAGCCAAAAAGGTGGTTGTGGAGCCGGTGTGGCTTAAACCCTGATTTCAAACGAGGGGAGGCGGTGTACAGCGCTCAGTTTCGGGTAGATGAAGCAAGCCCATGGGATTGATTCAGCTTCCCCCGCCGGGACTATTCTCGACAAAGGGGAGGCAGACAGGCGAGTTTTTTTTTTTGGGGGGGGGGGCACCTGTTTTCGGATGATGGTTTTAACGGGAAACGAAAGACAGCTTGCTAAACCAGCATTTGGGGATTGGCCCCTCATTTTACACATACCCAGAAAGCGAAAGAACATGCTCGCACCAGCGCAGAGATTTAGAGCCCTCTGGTCTCTCATGGGGAGGTCTTTTGACAGGACTACGTGTTGATGGCGACAAAAGTAGCACAGCCACTAGTTTTACGGGCCTAAACTAATAGAATGGGGTTGTGGGCACTTAAAAACCATATTGGGTCATGACTAGAGGGGTAAACCATTGGGTGTTGTTTTGTAGCTCCTTGTGAATTGGAATCCCCTCAACAGTGTGGACATCAATGACAATCCCGTCCTACAAGCTGCCAAATTGTTATTTCCGGGGGTGCTTTGGGCAACTGAGGGCTAGCTATCGCACGAGCCTTTCTATTCTTCTTTTTTTGTTCTGGTGGCTTGCGTTGGGAGTTGATCGACCCGCGTCCATCCGCTTTGACCCCTTCGCATCCCCTTGCGCCGCCCACTCGGACCTTTTTGGCTCGGCTCTCAAGACATCGACCCAATGTGTGGTAACTTCTCCGCAGGTTGTTGGAGGCCCCAAAAGGGGTCACCACAGGGCTCCTTAAAAGATACACTTTGCAGCCATTTGAAACATGTTGCTTTTTCAACACCAAAATAAAGGGAAACCACCATTTACAAGTTGCAATGTTCAGGTGTATAATGTAAGGATCCCTGCACAAGAAGGGACAGGGGCTGGCTCCAGTTCCCCAAAGGAACAGTTGATCAGATCAATTTACTTGCGGTTTACACTAAACTTGGTGGTTCCCATACATCCGGTCCCTTTGGTTTTTAAGTTGTCGGGGTTTAGTAGGGCTTTCCATGTAGCCCACAAAAGGTTAGTCACTTTGAGCAGAAATCTGTCTTGATTTGGTTTCTGACCATCCTTATGAACTTCCCAGCCCAGTGCATTGACTGGAGAGAAATTGCTTAGGGGCACTCATGGCAAGCAACCCTCAGTTTCTTCAGGATTCTTCAGAACATCTGAGACCACGCTTCCATTTGCTTAAGAATGTGTTGTCATTTTACATATTCCCTTGTTTTTTTGGGAATTTGTTCTACTGGAAACATATTTTTATTATTGCAGGGGGCGTTTTTGCGCAAATGAGAGTGGAGCTCCCAACAAGGCTATGATGGGTATCCCCTATACGATCTTAATTCTGGGGGTTCATTCCTCGTTCTTTTCAACAGCCGATCGCTGTTTTGTCTGGCGTTCTGATGGTTTTCTGAAGGATCCCTGGAAAGAACGGGGAAGGAACCCCTAGAAAATTGGTGCTTAATAAATATAATGTTAGCTTCAAACCACTGTGCTTAATATGTCATGTAGATGTATCACAGAGTGGGAATGTGACTTGTCATGGGCGTGTTGCCGTCAAAAAACATGAATGGAGCTTCGGGCTTCTGATGGCACACTCTGGAGCTTCCCCAAAACGTGACCACTGGCTCGGCAGGCCGCCGCCATTGGCCAGTCGGGCTACCAGGCAGGACACAGGAGTTTCGATTCGCCAGTGCTTTGACTTTGACCCAAAGATCCACGTGCTGAAACGAATATGTATACATGCATATATATATATATATACCCCCTACTCCAGATACCCACTTTTTCTAGGGTATTTTTTGAAAGACCTGGGTTTGCAGGGTAAATACCTCTTTTTTTTGGTAGAGGGTCGACATGATACCCTAAAAAAAAGCGGGTATTGGGTGTAAGGGGTATATATATATATATGTTTAATCAACATATTTCCCCTTCTTGGTTCCAAGGGAATCTATCACTACTGGAAATCTGTGTGTGTTTTGCGTTGTTTGTTCTTTTTCTTCTTCTTTTTTTTCCAGGGGCTTAAACAAATGGAAGCCCACTAGTAACAGGTACTTATCCACTTTTGGGGACTTGTGAGTGGCATAGAACCAGCAAGTAGGCTTTGAGAAGGCATGACTGGCACGCTGTTGGACACAAGGTCCACTAGGCACCGGCTTCCAGACGTTTGTTGTTTTTGGCCTGAGGTTTCCAGGGCGGAAGTGAAGGCCTTTCATGAAAGGTCACACAGTCATGGGGGCTGGGGGGGAGGGAGGGGAGGGGGGAGGAGCCCCAAAAAAACCATATTTAGCAGCCCTTATTTAAGGGCGTATTTGGGCTCCCTCCCCCTCCCCTCCCTCCCCCCCAGTCCCCATAACACAGTTCTAAGGGTTGATTCCCCATTCTTTCGTTACACGCGCACTCAGTGCAACGATCGGTCTTTCCAGCCGGTTTCGGCTCAGTTTTTGTTTTTTTCTGCAGCGAGCACTGACGCATGCAAAAAGTTGTCCTGCGGGCTAGGGGTAGGGCCAATAGACTAAACAACCCCTTCCCCTGACCTGCCAAAGTCATGCCGCTGCAGGCCATCGATCTTACTGGCAGCGTTCTGTTTTCAGGGGCATCGTTCTTTCCCTACAACCATCGTTCTTTCCCCAGGGCCATCGTTCTTTCCCCAACCATCGTTCTTTCCCCAACCATCGTTCTTTCCCAACAACCATCATCATTTCCCTTCTTTCCCCACCCCATCATTCTGTCCCCCAGCATCGTTCTTTCGATCAAAGATCAGTGTGTCCCTGTTGTTATTTTTTGTTCGCTTTTGCATCTGTTTTGGGTGAAAATTGGAAACCAGAAAGAATGGGGAAGTATTGTATGAGGCCATATTTTCGGTTAAAACCCATTCTTTCCAAGCATCCAATTTTCTAGGATTTCCGGTCTTTCCTCCCGAAAGTGATGACAACTGCTGCGTGGGCTGCTGCGTGGGCCCCCATTGAAAGAATGAGGAAGTGAATTGGAAGCTTGTGGAAAATTGGATCGCGGGCACCACTTTGGTGGGTTGGCTGATGAGGGGCCCGCGGTGCCATCAGGAGGATGCTTCAATGCTTGCCGTGAAGCCACGGGCTGTATGTTTGTCAGTGTCGCCTTGGCAATGATTCATGACATGGATGTGGGCAAAACAAGAAGGGCAAGGCTGACCGCCCCTGCTGCTTGGGAGAGGCCTGGTGGGCTGCTGGGAGTCGGCAAAGGGAGAGAATTGGAATTGTTGAGTTTTAGCCTTGCTTGGGTGGACTGCTTCGATGGCAATTGTTGTTGCATCCATTTTGGGGGATAATTGGGCTAGCTCTTCAGAATGGGGTGGTGTGGCTTAGAACAGTGTTCCCCATGCGAAGATTCTCAAGTCGCTTGATGGGGTATGTGTCACAAAATCCGGGGGGGGGGGGGGGCCATGTGGTGATTTGGTGCTCAAACGGGTTTCCGTTTTAAAACCGTCCGACAAAAACAAAGGGCACCCGCAAAAGGCCAACCATGTCCTTCTGTCCCCAAACGGAAATGCGGTCCTCAGACATCGTGGTTCAGGGTCCATGTTTGTTTTCCAGGCTGCTTGGTTTCTGGTAAAAAGGGTGATTTGTTTGGCGAAATTGTGCTTTCCCTTGATCTCTTGTGGTATATGGTCGTCCTTTTGTTCTTGTCGTTTTGGGGCACAAGCCCAGGCTATTGCGATATGAGGGGCTACATACTTACAAGCAGTATTCCTTTTTCATCATATTCTGCAGGGTTGCGGCAATCAGGGGTCCAAAATTGGAGCGTCTGGTGAGATATTCTGTGTATTTTTTTCACGAACCCCGCAACAACAGTTTTAGTCAATAATTTCGGCCTTCAAAAGTGCAGACCCAGGTTTTTGTTTTTCCTTTAAAAACCCTTATCAGCTTACTTCTTCGTGGGACGCCAATAAACAAACAAGAGCCGTCCATTTTGTTGGTCCAAAATCGGGAACAAAAAGCAAAGAACCGGGGGAGGAAAAAACCAAAGCAACCAAAAAGAAAACTCTTCGGAAAAGAAACGATCAAACACAAAGGCAAGGAGCCAGGGGGAACAAGAAGCAAAAAGCAACAAAACGACAACAAGAAACACACACACACACAAGTAAGGAACACGCAAGGGGGGGTGGTGGTGTGGGGGGGAAAAAACCGAGAAAAAGCCACGTCGGAAGTTCCTTCGAGGATAAGTCCCGGACCTTCCGCTCGAAAATCCGTGGATCGACTCAGGTGGAAGGCCAGGGCTATTGGCGCAAGTACTTCGAGGCCATGAAGCCCCCATGGCGAGGCGCGGAATTTTTGTTTTGGCCGGGAGGTGGGTGCTTAGAGTTTTTTTTTGGTTCTGGCGTTTTTTTTTTTGTTTTTTTTTTTTTTGGGGGGGGGGCGGGGGGTGGTTGTAAGAGGGTTTTTTTGGTTTCCCCGTTTTTTTTGGAGGTGACTGCAAATATCTTGAGATCCTTTTTGGTGGTTTTTGTTTGGCGGAACGGAACAACCCCAAAGGGTACCCACCAACACAAGCAAACTAAGCAAACGCAGCGTGATGAGCAGCATCACAGAGTTTATCTTGTTCACTACGTGCAACATTGAGGGAATCAAAGACGAAATTGTGGGCGGAGGAGGACGTAAGAGGACGTAGAATGTGAGAGGAACGAAAGCTAGTCAGAACAAGTTGAAGCGGCATGGAGTTGGCGTGCCAATTTCGAGCCGAGCTGCAACATGGGAAAAAAGGAGCTTAAGTTGAAGCGGAGTTGGGGCGCCAATTTCCAGCTGAAACAATGGAAAGAACCGCTTCGCCGTCTACCCCTCTTTGATGGAAGCGGACACGGACCTGAAGAGGATGGTGTCGCTAGGCTCAGAATCTGGTTTGCTTTGCTCATTCCGCATGGTTGTTGTTGGGAAACATTTTACATTTTTGCTTATTGTGGTTTAGTGGGAAATCCCCACTGAACTGCTTTTTTTTTCTTCTCCCCTTCCAACGTCAACCAAGTCCCCCAAAAACGGCGCTGAATAGCTTCCAGTCCTGCAAACTGGAAGTGCGGTCTCCTGGGGCAACTGAGTTCATAGGGGTTCGAGGTGCCTATGGCTAAATGCTGACGACCTTGCGATTCATGTAAGGGTCAATTATTTCGGGGCCCTTTTTGGCATACCGAATTTCAAAGGCGGCATTTACATCCCCCCCCCCCAATTTTGGGATGTTCTCCAAACCGCATTGAGACTACATAAGCCCTATACATGAGCGCTACATAGGCCCTACATAAGCCCTACATGAGCTTCCCCAGCAGAAAAACATCAATGAAAGCCACTGCTCGTGCAGGCTCGCTTGTGGTCATCGGTGCTGGTCTCGGTCCGCTGGCATCGCGATCATCGCATCGGCCTGGTTCAAAGGGAGGTGCCTAAAATTGGACTTCACTGTTCGACTCTTCGGTTGTTGTCTAGGTGTCCCAGTAGTGCCCTTGGAGCCCTTTTTTGGTTGGGTTGTTCTAACCTCTCTACTGGATTGCCTAGTTGTGTAGTTTTGTTTCTTGTGGTGGTGTTTGTTGGGTCGTTCTTTGTTTTCAGCCAGGTTGCAAGGAATTCCGTGGTTTGCTCACATGAGACCTGGACAGTGGCAGTGTCTTTTTAAATACCCTGAAAACAAGGACCACGTAGACAGTCCATAGTGAGACCCGGAAAACTGGTAGCGCTGCTACAACTTTCTCAGAAGTTGCCACAGCCAAGCGTCTAAGCTTCCTCAGTCTCACCTTGACATTGAATCCCCTTTGGCTGACGGGGGACAAAGGACTTGCATCCTTAGTCTTTGAGACTGGAGGAGACTGGGTACCGGGTTCCCTGAGAAGTCCTTGAAAAACTTCCTGGGATCGACTCAGGGAAGCCTTGGAACCGCCTTCACCATGTTCTCAGCTTTGAGCACCTGCGTGTGGCTGAAAATTAAAGAGCTAGGGCAAATTACGCAGGCTTTAGTCTTTGGTTCCATGCCCCAAGCCATTTGGGATCTCACTTCTGAGCCCAGCCACCTTTGGGCCCCATGGCCAAACAGAACATGGACGACTTTTGAGCCACAGCCCCCTGGCCCAAAATTGCCACACTGTTGAGCCACAGCCCCCCGAAGGTGGCCCACACCAACACGCGCTTGCCGCTTTCCTCCAGGAGGACACCTCTGGCCTTCGGCGCCGTTTCTCTCCGACTGATTTTTGGGTTGGGACCTGGGACCTCGGGGTCCCCGAGGCGGCATGACCTGGGCGCGCGCGGCGATTTTCTACGGCTCGGACACAGGCTGGGGATTTGTGCTTTTGTTTTTCCTTTTGTTTTTCTGATTTTTTTTTCGCCACGCGCGAGGTGTTTTTTTTTGTGTGTGTGTGTTATTCTGTGCTTTTTGTTTGTGTGTTTGCTTTTTGTTGTTTCCCCATGGGTCCATGAGGTGGACCTGTTTTGTTGTTTTTTTAATTCGGGGCCCGAAATGGTGGACATGAGACAACCACTTTAGAGGGGGTTCCCTATTAAAGCGGCCCTCCAACGCTGGCTTTTCCATGCCCCGATTGGTGCCATGGTCAAAGGACTCCTTCCTTTGGGGGTTGGGGGATGGTCATCCACCGGGAATGATGCGAAATATCCAGTATAACCAATCCTACTAAGGGAGCCATGACCAAAGGCCAAGGAGTTTTGATAATGGAGTTAGACCATGTTATGCCTTTTGCAAGGCTTGCAACCCGGAAACAAAAAGCCTAACGTTCGAGCTTCTGAAGAGTGCAAGTAAAAACAAAAAACAAAAAAAAACAGCCGTGCGATGGGTGTCTTTCCATCAGAAAGAGTGCCGTTTTGTTCAGGCCGAATGGCCTATCCCGATCGATCGAGCTTTTGGGCCATCTGAAAGTCATAGCTTTCGATTCTTGGTTCAAGGGACGGTACCAGTTCCTCGAACGAGCCATGCAATGCCGCCAAAATTTGCTACCTTCAAACAAAAGGAGGAACAAGCAAACGCAAACTCTCAAACTCGCAGTTGGATCATACCTCCAAGCAAAGAAAGAGGCGGAAAACCCGCGTTTCACCGAGGTCGCAGTTGGATCAAAGAAGCGCGAGCTGCAGCGGAGCCCCTCGACCCGGCACGCCTGAATTTGGACAAGGGGACCAACAAATCTCAGTGGGCTTTCCATCATAAAGCGAAAACAACAAAATATATGAGCCACGGACAAAACACACGAAGACCACTTTATCAAGGCGGGGTACGTTTTTGCATAACACATGCCAAAACCATGGAAAACGATACGGTCTCCCCCAAAAACGATAACCCTTAGCTAACACACAGCTCTAAAATAACCCCTGCAGTTGCAACTTAGTTAGGGTGGGACCCTTGCGTGGCCACCGTAAAACCAGAAGGCGAGTCGCCACTTTCGAGCTGCAGCTGCCAAGGTGTGCTTCGTAAATACGACACTTGTACTGAGAAGTTGCGATTCTCGAGCTGGAGCTGCGGAAGTGTATTTCACGTACTTGACTTGTACTACAAAGTTGCGATTTTCGAGCTGGAGATGCGGAAGTGTACTTCGCGTACTAGACTTGTACTACACAGTTGCGATTTTCGAGCTGGAGATGCGCAAGTGTACTTCGCGTACTAGACTTGTACTACAAAGCTGCGATTTTCGAGCTGGAGATGCGGAAGTGTACTTCGCGTACTAGACTTGAACTACAAAGCTTCGAGTTTCGAGCTGGAGCTGCGGAAGTGTACTTTGCGCACTAGACTTGCACTACAAAGTTGTGGATTTTCGAGCTGGATCTGCAGAAGTGTACTTCGCGTACTATTCATTTACTACAAAGTTGCGATTTTCGAGCTGGAGCTGCGGAAGTGTGCTTCGCGTACCAGACTTGTACTACAAAGTTGTGGATTTTCGAGCTGGAGCTGCGGAAGTTTCCTTCGCCTACTATTCTTTTACTACAAAGTTGCGACTTTCGAGCTGGAGCTGCGGAAGTGTACTTCCCGCACTAAACTTGTTCTACAAAGTTGCGATTTTCGAGCTGGAGCTGCGGAAGTTTCCTTCGCGCACTAGACTTGTACTACAAAGTTGCGATTTTCGAGCTGGAGCTGCGGAAGTGTACTTCGCGTACTAGACTTGCACTACAAAGCTGCGATTTTCGAGCTGGAGATGCGGAAGTGTACCTCGCGTACTAGACTTGCACTACAAAGTTGCGATTTTCGAGCTGGAGCTGCGGAAGTGTATTTCGCGTACTAGACTTGTTCTACAAAGTTGCGATTTCTGAGCTGGACATGCAGAAGTGTTCCTCGCGTACTAGACTTGTACTACAAAGTTGCGATTTTCGAGCTGGAGCTGCGGAAGTTTCCTTCGCGCACTAGACTTGTGCTACAAAGTTGCGATTTTCGAGCTGGAGCTGCGGAAGTGTACTTCGCGTACTAGACTTGTACTACAAAGCTGCGATTTTCGAGCTGGAGATGCGGAAGTGTGCCTCGCGTACTAGACTTGCACTACAAAGTTGCGATTTTCGAGCTGGAGCTGCGGAAGTGTATTTCGCATACTAGACTTGTTCTACAAAGTTGCGATTTCCGAGCTGGAGATGCGGAAGTGCGCTTCGCGTACTAGACTTGTACTACAAAGTTGCGATTTTCGAGCTGGAGATGCGGAAGTGCGCTTTGCGTACTAGACTTGTACTACAAAGCTGCGATTTTCGAGCTGGACATGCGGAAGTGTACTTCGCGTACTAGACTTGTACTACAAAGTTGCGATTTTCGAGCTGGAGCTGCGGAAGTGCACTTCGCGTACTAGGCTTGTACTACAAAGTTGCGATTTTCGAGCTGGAGCTGCGGAAGTTGCGTACTAGACTTGTACTACAAAGTTGCGATTTTCGAGCTGGAGCTGCGGAAGTGTGCTTCGCGTACTAGACTTGTACTACAAAGCTGCGATTTTCGAGCTGGAGCTGCGGAAGTTTCCTTCGCGTACTAGACTTTTACTACAAAGCTGCGATTTTCGAGCTGGACATGCGGAAGTGTACTTCGCGTACTAGACTTGTACTACAAAGCTGCGATTTTCGAGCTGCAGCTACGGAAGTGTACCTCGGGTACTAGACTTGTACTACCAAGTTGCGATTATCGAGCTGGAGCTGCGGAAGTTTCCTTCGCGTACTAGACTTGTACTACAAAGTTGCGATTTTTGAGCTGGACATGCGGAAGTGTTCCTCGCGTACTAGACTTGTACTACAAAGTTGCGATTTTCGAGCTGGAGCTGCGGAAGTGTACTTCGCGTACTAGACTTGTACTACAAAGTTGCGATTATCGAGCTGGAGCTGCGGAAGTTCTAAAACACTGTAAAACGATAAGGTCTCCCCCAAAAACGATAACCCTCAAAAAAGTACTAGGGCCAAGTAAAGTGTTTCGTCCGCTCCTCATATATATATATATATATAAACATAACCCATAGAAAGTCGGATGTCCATCAAACAGTATGCCATGAAGATCCTTTTCAAGAATCTTCATTCTGATCAGATGCACGCGGTAATGGGGTCCCTATTGCCAGTGAAGCAACCACATCTTCAGCCTCACTGCCTTAAGTCAGTTTCCCCCACCAACAAAAAAGGCTTGTTTCCCTTGTTTCCCTTGCAACATTCAGGGCACACCGAATCTTTCAGTGATTCGAAACCCGGCCAGCGGGCCTGACAGCAGGCACTTAGGTTTTTTGCCCCTCGCTCGCTCGCCTTCAGGCTCCAAATGGATGCGCCAGCAGGCACGACACAGCAACCCAGCGGGTTTGGTCCAAAACCCTGGATTTCCACCTTGACTGTCAGAAAACATGGGGCTTGTCACTAAAAGCTCGGAGGTTTCATCAAGCCCCTTTTTTTGGCTAGTGGACCCCGAAGCGCCATTCTCGATGGAGGAATCCATGTCTTCGAGGGGAGTTGTTCTGTGCTGGTGTGGTGCTGCCAGATGACAGCGGCACTGGCGCGTAGTTTTTTGTTTTTGTGTGTTTTATTGTTTATGTTTTTTTGGGCTGGGGGGGGGGGGGGTGGGGGAGGTTGCGCGTGTTTTCTCGTTGGAAAACAGGGATCGGATCAAGTGCTGGCAACAAGCAGAAGGGGGGAGAGGAGGAAGAAGGACACTGTTGACAGGACTTCGCGTGACAACACACACACACACATCGAACCAATGCTGCATACCATGGTTGGGGCCGAAGTTATCAATATGAAAATCCTCATGGCTCTCCTTTGATAGCCAAGCTCAAACACCAAGCAAACAACCAACGACAAGAAACTCCACCTAATGTTGTTCTGCTTAGGGGCTAGTGCACAGCCGGCCTCGCCTCGTGCGCTTGCGCACGATGTGCACATTCTATCAGGCCTAAGAGGATGTTCTTGTTGATCTTTCAAGGGGTTTGTTTTGGGTCAGAGTTTTGGTGCTACAACATGATCGCTATGTGTCCGTGGGTGGAGAAACCTGGCGTACGTTGTGACGTGCAAAGCTGACGAGGACGCTTTCAAGCGCTTCAAAGTAATGTCTGAACTCACGATTCGAGTTCAATCATCTCGGGAGTCTCGTGTTTAATCTTGAAAACAGTATTGCTCCAGGCCAGTTGAAGTTCAGTTCAATATCCCCAGAACTCTCATGTTGATTGTTGGATCCAGCAAACAGGCCTCTCATTTTGCATCCCATGCTAAAGATGGCAATCCAAATGAACAAAACGGCTTCACACACTGACACCCACCATTCTGTTGTGCAAGTAGCCGCAGCCAGATGCGCTGAGATGTGAGCGAGTCCTCGCACTTCGTACTTGTAGACAAGGAGTTTCAGCCTCATGGACCCTTAAGATGGAGGGAGACAGGGAACAGAGCGGAAAAAAACAAACAACGCATAGGCTGGACTAAAAACATGAGCCCTCAACATTTGTCTTTCTCATTAAAAACACAGGTACCTGCTGACCAAAACACACACAAAACAAATCTAACGCTGATACAAGTGCATTGGTTCAAGAGCTTCTTCAACAGTTACTTCATATTCGACAGAATCCGAAGCTGCGCAGAAGACTCAAGACAACACACCTTTATTTTCAGCAACTGAAACAGGAGGTTAGAGACCTTTCGTCAGGACTTCCCAGCTTTAGTGCATTTCGCTTGGATGTTAGGACTTGAGCTTTTTGCAAACCAATGGGTTTCCGTATTAAACCACTAAAAGTGAAACATTTTTAGGAGGGCTTCGCAGAAAGCAACCGAGCCACTACGCGTGCCACATGTGTTTTAGGTAACACAGCAGAGAACGATCAAGAGCGGCCGGGTCCGGGAAGAAGATCGGCGGTACACCATGGCAACTTTGATATGTCACCTCAAAGTGAGCGGCGACTGGTGGAGCAAAATGTGTCTAGATCCCTTCGAACAGGAAGTTGGTTCTCAGCACCCGGCCCTTTGCAGGGAATTTATATATATATATATGGTAGAGGTCTGGCACCCCCCCCCTCCCCCGCCATGGTCATGGTAGCCTTAAATAGGGCCCCACCCCCTCCTCCCCCTGTGAGCCCGCTGGGTTTGCAGGTTATGGTCATCTTGCAAAAGTCTTCGCTGGCTCTGTGACCCGCTGGTTTTGCAGGTTCTGGTCATCTTGCAAAAAAAGGCCTCTCCCCCCCCTGTGGGCCCGCTGGTGGGTTCCGGTTAGGGCCAAGGCTTCGAGTCGTACCCCGGCGTGCGCTCCCCGCTGGTTTTGCAGGTTCTCCGCCATCTTGCAAAAGGCCTCTCCCCCCCCTGTGGGCCCGCTGGTGGGTTCCGGTTAGGGCCAAGGCTTCGAGTCGTACCCCGGCGTGCGCTCCCCGCTGGTTTTGCAGGTTCTCCGCCATCTTGCAAAAGGCCTCTCCCCCCCCTGTGGGCCCGCTGGTGGGTTCCGGTTAGGGCCAAGGCTTCGAGAGTCATACCCCGGTCAGCAAGCGGCCCCCCAAGTGGGGGGGGATACCATTGGGGGGGGGGTGGCCGCTCGCCGACCGGAACCATACAAACATATTGATGAGTTTGTGTTGCATCTCCCTTCTGGCACCTTCTAGAAACTGGGCCAGTACCCTCCATGCCCACCCTTTACTCGGAGACTAAAATATGCCACTGAGCCTCTCCTTCAACGAACCGAGTCGCTACCCCCCTTGCCAGGGAGTCATGTTGCATGTGGCATAGAGCGCGAGAGAGCGGGAGAGGCGTGGCGGCCTGCCCACACACATAAATATATGTATATATAGATATATATATATATATGTATATCTGTATATGTATATGTAGATACAAATACGTATATATATATATATATGTATATATATATATATGTCATATATATATATATATCATATGGGGTGTAAACTTAATGTGAAGCAGAATCTGAACACATATATGTGTGTCCCCCTTTGGGCCAACATGTGGTTAAGTGTTTACGTCGTTTAGGGCTACTCCACGGCGCTCTCTTCCACCGCGCCGTCGCTCTGTGTGTCCTGCTTTGCGCAGGTGGGGGGATTCGGACGTTCGCGCATTCGACTCGATGGCGTGCGGAAGGCTTCTTGTTGAGTACTGGAGACCCTTGGATGATACACCCTGGTTGATGTATAGGGGGTTGTCCCGTTTAAGTAGGGGTGCAGACCACTGTTGGAGGGCAACATCTACGCATAGGACGGGTTTGTCAATTTGGGGCCAAGGTTATATAACGTGGCTACCCTTGAGTTGGTGGTTTGATTGGTAATGTGGATTTGGATTTGACCCGCCGGCTCTTGTAGAGGGATGGGAAATCAGCCCGAACCACTAAACCACCAAGTTGACAGCGGCTCTTGGTTAACTACATACATGCAGAACATATACACATCACATTTATACAAACACACACATATATATATATATACACATGATTGTGTTTGTTTGTGCGTGTGTGTTTGGAGTGGGAATACTCCCACCAAACATGCTTTGGTGCACCGATCCCTGCTGGAAGACGCGTGCTTGGAGGGAGGGTACCCTTTGTGTCTGAAACCGAAAGCGGGAAACACAGATTTGGGGGGGGGGGCCTCCTTTTGCAACAGACTTGTTTGGGTGGTCAGATGATATTCTAGTCTCTGATTGGTTTGGGACAAACAGTTGGGACAATCACCATAATTGGAGTCAGGGGGGCGGAACACATTTTGTCAATGTCAACTATGGAAAGTGCATACTTGGATTTACCGTGACTCATGTGGGTGGCGGGTAGAGTTCTGGACCCTTTGGAAACTTGCTTGTTGAGTTGATTGACAAATGTCAAGTTTCGGTTTGCTAGGTGCTTTCATCGTTTAGTACAGACCCACCAAGCTCAAACTGTTATCCGGTCGACGTAGGTCAGCAACGTGAAAGGTGGTATGACCAGCACAGGACCCCGTGCAAGGTGGTATGAAAAGTAATTGAATCAATCTCCCAAAGGGCCAACCCCATGGTAGACGCTAAGTCGAGAGGAGTTCGGCGTTTCTAGTTCAAAGGCGTCCCTTAGAAAGTGGCGTAGTCTTGACACACGGGTTTGTCAGTCATTTTTGTTGAAGCTGTCAGAGGTTTCAGGAAGTTGCCCAAGGCCTCATCTCTGTTTGTTTGCGTGTGGCACTATGGAAGAATGTTATTGGGCTTGCTCAAAGTGCTAGGTTTCGTCCAGTACCGACCCCCGAACTTGTCGAGCAAAGTATGGAACGCCGAGCACTGCTCGGAAACGGACTCAAGCCATCTCATCGAGTGCTTGTGACATGCATGGGGAAGGTCCCCATGGCTCTAGTGGTCTCCCCAGCTCTAGCTTCTTGGCATGGGAACTCAACTCTTGTCCTTCAGACCTGTTGGATAGCGGCCCATCGACCTATGCCCATGCCTGGTGTCTCGAACTTTTTTTGCAATGGATCAGTGCTGAGCCGTGGTTTCTGGTGTGTGTGTGTGTGTTTTCTTGTTTTTTTTTAAAGCTCAGGTGAGTAACTCACGATTTGGTGGCTACTGTTGGTTTGGGGAGAACGGATGGGGCCCCAATTCCTTTACCGGGTAAAAGTCAGGTGCGGCAGCGCGCCCGATTTTCCGCTGGGTTCCGCTCAGGATTGTCCAAGAACGCCATCCCTTCCCATGGGTCACCCCCTCAGCCCTCAGGTAGGCCTTACTTGGTTGGGTGGGTGGTTCGGCCATTTAAGCCCCATACAAATGGGACACAGACCTCCAACCCCCCAATCCAAGTCATACTATTAGAGGGAAGCTGACAATTGGACAAATGTATGTGCATAATTTCCCTCTAGACTACCTTTCCTCTGGAGGCATTCTTGGGGTCGTATAAAACCAAGTTCTTGTCAATCAAGGCTTTGGCAGAAAGATAATACGGCGATACGGCAGGCAGTGAATCAGCCCTTCGTCCGGTCCTCCATCATGCTGCAGAAGCCGGGCGAGGCGAGGAGTCGCTTGCCCTTTGACAGGTAGAGGCAGACAACAGAAGGGGCGACACGACGGGTGGGTCCGACTTTCAATTTCGCTTGTCTCACCTCTCAGTCAGATCCTAAATGCAGAGGTGAAAAGGAGGGGATGAGAGATAAAGAGACGGTCAACACTCGCTCACGCTTCCTTTCCTCTCACAGCCCGGAAGAAAGACATGGCTGGGAGAAGGAAAGAGTGAGAGAGTGAGGATTACCCGCCCCAATCTTCGCGATTGCAACGGACTGGACGGATATGGTGGGTGTAGAAACGAATTACCCTTGATTTCCCAGCCACATCTATAAAGCTGCGACGAAGGAAAAGAGATGACCGGAGATTGACTTGGTGTCCCGGACCCTTTCTTGAGACATTGCCGCAATGGAAGCATCCCCAAGTTTGCCAAGTGATGATGCCACCAGGGACAGCCCAAATTGGAGGAAGAAGATGAAGATCAGGTTTAGAAAATTCGAGCGTCTTTGGCTCTTTCCCCCCCCCCCCCGCCATGCTAACTGAAGAACGGTGGTTGGAAGTGGGGGTGACACCCTTGTGGAGGGGGCAAAGCTCAGATTTTGAGCCACGATGGTTTTGTGTTCTTTGCGTGCTTTTTTATATGCTTCCCACTGGCAACCATCGGGGGCTTGCGACGCTCGCTCGTGGAGTCCGCCATTGTTTGGAGGTTTCGTGCAACTTCCGGTTGGGTGGTGGTTTCTCCGCGCAGACCTTGAGTGTTTCCCGGAGTCGAAATGTGCCGTGCAGGCTTGGATTTATTTTTGCAAAACGGGTTTCTGGCGGTGGTGTGAAAGCGGCCAACCTTGAGCTCGTGGTGTTTTTCCGAGATCTCATCCAGGGGCCCATTGGACTCGAGATGGACCCGGGAATAGTTGATGCTCTCCAGCCCACGATTCAGCTCCAAGGCTGATTTGTGCTGGGGGTGAGCGTCAGAAAAACTCGGGGCCTTTCCCTTGCTTGAACCCCTGCCAACGTCTTCGACAAATCCCATGGTCGGCCGGCTCGAAAAAATCGGCTCGGAAAATCGGCTCGCTGGGAAGCGCGCCGAATCCGTGCCAAGTCGGGTAGGAGCTGGCTCGTCAGACCTTCCCCAACATGGCCATGCTGAGGCGAAACGCGAATTGGTTGGACTGGGCGTGTGGTAGGCGGCCTGGACGGCTGCGAAAAAGGAAAGTGGACAGATCCCACTGGTGGATTCCTCACTCACCGAGTTCTGGATGTCATTTTTGTGGGGGGAAGAACATTTTAGTGGTCAATGAAAAGTTTGAACTTTTTTGGCCAACCCACTCAGGAAGTGAGATTCGCTGTCTCACATCCGTAGATTCCGATTGTTGCTGATATTTACTCTCCAGTGAGATCATAGAAGCCTCCGTCCACAGTGTGCTAGAAATCGTAATTTCTGATGTTCAACAAACTTTGTCTTCGCTGATTCCCACAAGTTGTGCATTCATGTCCTTTCCGATGCGAGGGTTCGAGACACCTCGTGTCTCGGGGTGGAAAATTGGTTCCGCTTGAGTCGTTTTGCACCATGACACAGGTGCCTTCGGTTCAAGAGGTGATAGCTTGGTGGCCCCCAGCCGTCCCCGTAGGCTTTTAGGCTTTTAGGGTTGAGAGGTAGTTTCCATGTAACCCTCTAAAAGTTAATTCTTTTAGCAGGGGAGCGGTTGAGCGGTAGTTTCCATTTAACCCACTAAAAGTTAATTGTTTTAGCAGGGGAGCTGAGGGCAGCCCAGATAGGATGAACAAGGGCCACTTGGAGCTCGTGATCTGGGTTGACCTGCGTATACAGTGTTGGCAAAATGCACCTGGGCAACTTTTGTTGATTCTTTTGGGGTGCACTCAATCTACGCAAGAGGTCCTTCTAAGCATCTTGGTGCTCAGTAGACAATGACCGTTCCGGGTGTTGGGAATGAACCTAGGGATTCCCTTAAAGGAAACCACCATTGGGATGGTTAGGGGGTCAGACATATCCAAGCGCGTTCAAGGCACCTTGCTTCTCTCAGGAGCATAAAGATCAGGTCCAGGAGCCCGCCTTCACCACCCTTGGTGGTTTCTAGGTCCCCCAGTAGTGCCCTTCTCTCGCCTTTTTGGGTTGGGAGATTCGGTTCCCCTACTAAAATAGACTACAGAAACAAGGGTACCTTTGTTCTAACCTTTCTACTGGACGACCTAGGTGTGGTGGTTAGAGGGGTTTCCCATCTACCCTCTACAAGAACCAGGGTTTAAATGCCCAAACCGCCAATCCAAACCGCCAACTAGGGGTAACCTGAGCTACTGCGGATGGACGAAATCCATTTCGCACCACCCAAGACACCCACAGGAATGAGTCGATTCCCCCGTGAATACCAACAAACGTTGTGGTATCAACCATGGTTTCTTAGATGGTGCGAAAATCATTTCGTCCACAGTGTGGTAGTCCGGTTCTCTTGGTTGCCCTGGAGGGTACCTGGAAGATTCGTTTCCTTTTCAACGGCACCCCCTAGGATGCTATGCTAGTGGACTGGAGGGTAATGCTGATAGGCGGAAGGGGTGGATCCGGATCCGGACTGCCCTGGAAAAAAACCGTATGTTGCACTCCAAGCGCAACCTCTTTTGGATCCCAATGGATACGTTCTCACTTAGCAGGTTGTTCTGTGAGACTTCGAAAATTGTTTGTTGATTTGTTGCCATGGGTTTGTAGAACGTTCTCATGCCAGGTACGAGGATAAACATGCCACAAGCTCACTTTGATTTGGCCCGAATCCTGCTTAAATCAACATCGACAAGTCTGAATGCCCGTGTTTTGTCGCAGGGCTTTCCTGTTTTTTGGGTGGTTGTTGGAAGGGCACCCCCCCCCCCGCGCAAAAAAAAAAAAACAAGAAGCGCGGCGGCCATGTTGTCTGACTTGCCGGTGCGAGAAGTAGGGCGTGAGCTAAATGGAATGGCCCCCAAGCTTGGGCCCACGGAGGGAATGAGAAATGGAACGAACCCGGGCGCCCTTTCCTTGGAAACCAAGGGATGGTTGTTCTTGGTACTCCATCCAACTCATCCTGTGGGTCAAAAATAGGTACCCCAAAACGGGTTGCCCTGGTAAGGGGAAACAAGGACTAAAACCTGCGGTTTTCTCTTTCCCTGAAACCAGCAAGGGATGGACCTTTGGCCCTTCCTTGGAAACCACCAGCAAGGGATGGGTTTTCCATGCAACTCATTCCCTGCATCAGTCCTAGACCAGGCACGGCTTTTCTTGGTACTTCATCCAACTCATCTGGGTGTGGGTCAAAAATAGGTACCCCAAAACGGCACCCTGGTAAGGGGAAACAAGGACTAAAGCCTGCGGTCCAATTCCAGGTGGTGTGACTTTGGCCCTAAGCTTCCCCCTTTCCTTGGAAGCCATGGGATGGGGCTGGTTTTCTTGGAATCCACCAAGGGGATTTTTTTTTCTTTTTTCGCGGGCTACTCCGTACCCATCTGCGACTCGCATCGGTCGACTCGCATCGGTCGACTCGGACCGCGACTCGGTCCTCATCGGCTCGTCGAGTGAGGCACTTGGCCACCACGAAGGGCCTGTCCTCCTGGTTCACAGGACCGGGAAAAGAGCGCTGCGAGCGAAGCGATTGGAAGTTGGAGTTGGATTTGTGTGTGTTTTTTTTGGAAAGGGGAAGTGAAGTCATGGGTCATGGGAGGTAGGGGGGGAGGCACTTGTGTTTTAAAGTGCTGAAAGGAAGATTTCTTTTATTGTCCATTGGTTTTAAAGGGGATTTATCACTACTGGACATATGTTCTTATTTGTCCAGGAAGCTTAAGCAAATTGAAGATAAGGCCTTGTTCAGCCCTTAATAGAGTATTTGGGCTGCCTCCCAGGCCCCATGAGAAACAAGAAGGGCCACCGAAATTGTGGCATTTGAGTTCCACGTCCCAGAGTGTTGAAGACACAGACGAGCGACGTTTTGTTGTTTTTTCTGCGAGAGAAGCAGATGATGTCCAAAGTTCGGATGGCTAATGCTGGGCCCATGCAGCTGGCATTGGGGTTTCGGTGCTCATTTCACCAAGGTTTCGGGGTGGGAAACCACTTTTTGGAAACCCATCATTTTGACGGTCGGCTTCATGTCGCTTTGGACCCGATGAGAAGCCAAAGGGAGACAGGAGGTTTACAAATTTTTATGGTCCTTTGCTGGGCGGCGGAACTTCTGGGAGGAGAAGTTGGCGGCCCCTGAAACCTGTGGCTGTCCCTCTCGGAGGGAGAGTCCTTCCGCATGAGTGTGGCTCTTTTAGGACTCCATGTTGATAGGGTGTGTGTGTGTGCGTGTGTGCTTTTTGAGGGTACGCATTTTTGGGGGGAGACGAGGTCACGGATGAAGAAAGTCCCTTGATTTCTAGGGAAGCCCTGTTGTTCTTTTTTAGTTTGTGAAGTATAGTAATCTGTCCAGACACCGTACAGTTGCTTCTAGCGCCCAGACATTCTGCCCATTCGCGCGCGCGCCGGAATGGATCGCTCAGCTGCAGATGAACTAACCTAAAAGTGGGGGTCCATGCAGAAGATGCCGCTGACTCACTGCCTTTGCACTTTTTTGCGAAGACCATTTTGGTGGAAAATAAAGAGTTCGGACTTTTTTTTTCTGACCAATCCACTCAGGAATTGAGCTAAACATGGTGGTTGCTTGGGGTCCAGGATCAGTGGCTTGTATTCCGAGCAGATGCGCAGATGGGTCGACTTTGAGTACCCGTATATTTTGTTTGATCCGTGGATCGGATACCTGACCAAGAGGGGTTGGGGAAAATGGGTTAAAGTACCTAACCCCTGGTCCTCTCTCTTTTGGAAGGTCAAAGGAGATCAAACTTAAGCAATATTATGGCTATGAGTTGTATCAGAAACCATCTCAAAAGTGGATGGCTTCATGGTCCACCAAAGCGTCCGGGACCTCTAAAAATTCCGGGAGATCCTTATGGGTCTGTCCTTTTGTTGAGGGGTTACGGGGTTGCTTACGGGTTTGCCCAGGAAAAAAGCGTCACAGAACGTGGGGGGGACGAACCACAGCCAGGTGGTCCATTTCCAGCAGCCAGGGCCATCACCACCCCCGCCCCCCGGCCCGCTCGCACTCGAGGACTGGACGCTGCAATCCTGAAGACGGCGCCCAAGTACATGACCGCCCGGGCCCCGAGCTCTGCACGCAGAAGATGCCATGACCCTCGCTTGGATTTGGCCCTTTCGCTGTTTTTTTTTTTTTGCGCGCAGGATTACCCCCTCTTGTCATGAGCTTATGAGCTTGGCGGTTTTTGTCTCCAAGTTACATCGGTTGAAATGTGAGGCCCACTTGGACTCTCGGGTTGATCGCTGAAGACTCGCAGTTCGGGCAGCCGAAGCGTGAGTGTCGGCTCAGCTTCGCTTCGGGCTATGTTAAGCTTCCATTTGGTTAAAACTAGTTTATATTTTCCCCTGTTGGTTTTAAAGGGAATCTATCACTCCTGGAGATATTTTCATTTTTTTCCCAGGAGACTTAAGCAAATGGAGGTACGCCTCAGGTTGGCCCCGTTTCAGGTCGGGTTCTCTCTGGGATGATGTTTGAAGGGGGACAATTGGCCGTGAGTCAAAAATAGGAATCCCCCCTTGAAAGAGGAAACATGGACTAAAAGCTGCGGTCCAATTCCTGGTGGTTTCATTTTGACCCACAGCCATTTTGCGAACCCTGGCCTGGGGCCTCAGCCTTGAATCCCATTCGCTGCTGGCACGCTGACAGCTGAAGAGATCTGCACATGGACCGCCATGGCGAAATCACCTGGGCATGGGTCAAATGAAAGCACCAGGAATGGGACCGCAGGTTTTAGTCCATGCTTCCATTGACCAGGGTTCCAGTTTGGGGTACCCATTTTTGACCCACTGCCACCTGATCAGTTCTCCATGCGAGGTTCTGTTTTTCTTGGGGAGTCCTGAGATTTCTTGCTTGGTGAGCCACAGTTTCTGATGCGCAGACATCTACCCCGGCTGGGGTTTTGGGACGGCTTTGACTGGGGTCCTGGCCCTTTAGGTGTTAAGCTCTGGGTATGTGGTATGTGTCACAATAGCCCCTTCCCTTAAAACCAAGCTGCCCCCCATCCCCCCCCCATCCCCCCCAAACAAAAAGAAAACACCGCTGCTTTCTCTTTTCTATCCCCTTTGCTTTCCCTTCCATCTGAACCTCTGTCCGAAAGCGGCACGTCACAGACCCCACGAAGTTTCCCCCGCGGCTTTTTCCGCCCGGAGCTTCGAGCTTCCGCGAGGCGGTGCTGATCAAGGACTACATGGGGCTCTGGCTGGCGCCGGTGGACCCGAAGGACAAGCAGGCGCCGGCTCCCGCTCACGCGGCTCACTCACGGCTCACTCACGGCCCAGGGGTCGTTTTGATACTGGCGGCCAACTCCAAAATCCGTTCGCAGCACTGGGGGTTTCCATGGTTGCAACCAGAAAACGATTTGCTGCCGGAAAGACAAGGAAGTCATCGGCAACCAGGGTTTCTTAGGTGATGCAGGATTTCGTCCATCCGCAGTATGGCTGTGGGGTCAAAAGTATGGCAACTAAAAAATGGATGGCCCTATGGAAACAAGGACTAAAGCCCCTGCGGTTTGTCGGTGGTTTGATTTTGTCCCATAGCCATATGTTGGGTTTGTTGTGTCTTTTGGTCATGGTTCCTAATATCTTTGTTTGGGTCATGTCTTCTCCAGGCGGCTGTTTTGTCCTTCATGCTCTCCTTTGATGTGTTCTTGTCAAACTTGTGGTCAGGCTGGCTTTTCTTTTGTTCAGGTTGCTTAACTCGGTTGCCTGGGACATGTTACTTCCAGCCCCGAAGGATCAGTGTTTTCACCGAGGATACCCGCAGCGATCATTATATATATATATAATACACCTAATACGTGTGCGTGTGAAAGTTCTTCCAAATAGCAACCGCAGCCCTCATTGCTTTAGTCTTGCTGGTGCTAAATCGGTAGGGAATGAGAAATGGAATGAACCGTTTTGGGATTCCGGAACAAAGGAAACCACCAGCACGGGATGGTTGAGGGTCATTCCATGTCTCATCCCCTGCCTCTCTCGCACCGATCGCCAGTTGTGGTCCAAAGGAATCACCCGCCCAAGGCTCAGCCTTGTTAATTCTTTACGCGGCTTTGGGTAGACCATTTTAATACCGGGGTTTGATTATGACTCGATGTAAGGGAAGGACACCCGCTAATGTACCGTCTTTCTCCATGGTGTTGAGGTTGAGTAGTCCAGCGTACCAAGGGAATCCCAGCGACCCAGGGACATGATTGGCTCAGTTGCCCTGGCTCAATTGACAAATGCAAACCCGAAATGGGCTGCAAAACCCCTTCAACGGGCCGCCCCAAATCAAGGCCGACGTGCCGAGTCCCTTTTCAGGTGGAGAGCCACGCCTCAGAACAGCTGCTTTGCCCCCACCCCAACGCGGGAAGCCATCCTGACTCCATCGCATTTCGAGTCTTCTTTGATACTTAACTCGCTTTTCGATCTTGATTGGCTTACTCCCTTGAAAGTCTACGTGTGTGTTTGCTTCTTGGAGGCAGCTCTTTTCAGGCTGCTCATAAACAATGGACAAAAATTACGCGGACGCCAACAAAACAATCTCATTTTTGGGCTCCATGCAGTGGCTTTTGGATACAAACACATGGAGAGTTCCCTGCCTAGGTCCCCCAGCCAGGTGCCCTTCTCTACCCAACTTTTTGGGTTAGGATCGTTCCCCTTCTAAAACAGACGTCCAGACAAAAAAAAAAAAACGGGCACCAACTTCTTCTAACCTCTCTACTGCTCTATGGAGGACCTAGTTGGGTTCCCTGTGGTGGTTTTCGGATCCAAACCGTGGAGAGTCCCCGGGCAGTGGGCGGTGGTTTTTTTTTCCTCGGCGTTTTCTCGGCGAGGCGGTGCTGCTGAAGTCCGCGAAGGTCTCGGTCACCGCAGGCGCGCGACTTGGGGCGTGGCGGACGGGTCCACGGGCGGAAGGGCCTAGGTCAGGTGGGTTGAAGCAGAGGACGGTTCTGACTAAAGATGCGAGAAAAAACAATCAGGTAAATGATGTGCACCATGGGGTTTTCTGGCCTCACTAAGATGAGACATATCCCTGGTAAATGATGATGGGCATGGGGGACGTTTACCCAGAATCCAGAGGGTGGAATGGGTAAATGATGTGAACTATGGGGTTTGCGGGTTTTAATTTTCAGGTAAAGGATGTTCATTCTGGGGTTTTCTGGCCTCAACAAAACAAAAATGTTCAGGTCAAGTCAAAGGAGGTGCACACAAAGGTGACCTCGGAATTTCATCCCCCCCGCCCATCCGCTCCCCCTGAGAAGGTGGAGAAGTCCTGTCGGTTTAGATACCATGGGTATATAGCCATGGGTCAAAAGCCAAATCGGTTAGCCCCCAGTGAATATCCCAATCCAACCGTTCTAAAAAAGGCTCTAAAATGGGTGGTGAATTCACCTACCAACCAACATGGGATCCAAGACGTTTTGACAACCACAGCCATATTAACCGATGTTGACATCATGGGGTTTTCTGACCTGGACGTTTACCCAGAATACCCGGCTATGGCGCCATTTCCCCATGGGCTTCTCTTGAAGTCTTGGGCAAAAGGAAAATCATAGTTGTCATTTCCGAGGCATGAGTCACTGCCGGTTATGGAAGCATGCGTGTATTAATATTCTTTTTTAAGGGCGACATTCTTGCTTGTCTTCGACCAAAAGGTAATTGATGTGCTGCTATGGGGTCCCGAAACACAGACAAGTACTTCTCTGGCAACACCTCGTTTTGTTGCATTGCTTCATTGTGAAAAGAAGCCATCCCTGGATCTTGAACAGAAATCTTTATGAAACCAACCATATTTTTGAAAGCAATGGAGGGCCATCTAAGATTTGAGTACATGAGGCAGCCGACATGTCAATTGTGCAGCCAGCCACTCCCCTCAAACCAGCTTCAGGCGGCCAGAAAGTGGCATGATCCCATCGTGAAGTTCCCAATCTTAAGGCCAGCGTGCAACGATCTGAATCAAGCCCCTGCGTTGTTCCGACTTGTTAAGCAGCAACTTTGGTTTCAACTTGTTTAAGCCAAACCCTTGCTTTCAGTTTGCTTTCAATCAACTCTTGGTTCTTTTGGGGCGTCCTCCTTACAAATCCGGTGACCAATGAAACACCCTTGTTTTGAGCTTTACTTCCATCAACCCTTCGGGTGTGTCTCAAAATAGGGGTGGCCCTTTTTGGGGTGGGTGTTTGTTTCCTTTCAAAACAATCCCAAATAGGGTAGCCTCAAGAACGACAGACCACAATTTAAAGAAACACAGGAAACCAACCATACTGTGGACAAAATCCTGCACTGCGAACCCCCCATGGTTTGTTGAAGTCACAAAGGAATCGAGTCAGAACCAGGGTTTCTGAACTTTTCGAAATGGATTTTGCAGCCATCCGCAGAAAATACATAGGACATGGACCTCTTTTTTGGGGCAAAGGTGTGGCCGGAGCTGTGCTCACCAACCCCCTGGACGTCGTGCGCAATGCGACTCGCCGTGTGTTGGGGAGATGGAAATGCGGGGGTATAGGTGTCCTTCTTGTCTCCGTGATCCGAAAGCATGGAGTAGTTACTGCGTTGAAGGGATTTGCCTACTGGGGTCTTCGTTGTTTTGGAATGCTCCCCAGCTGAACGCTGCGAGGTCGATAGGCACGGATAGTCCAGAGTGCCAGAGTGGAGTTGGTGTGGGTTTTGGAAGGGTGCAAAGGGGTTGTTTGTCAATACCCCTTGGACTCATGTTTTCCGAGTTCTACCGCAACCAATCTTCATTACATCATCAGCTTGGGTCAGACGAAGTATGAAGACCCCTTACCTGGGGATGCTCCAGGAACATAGAGAATACAAGGGGATGTTCAAGCAAGTTAGAAAGTGGTTCGCCAACCCACTAATAACAGGGTTAAGTCCACACGGGGGGACTAACGGGCTATAACCTAGGTTACCATCCACTTTCGAAGTTGTCCGAACGGGCCCGAATCACAGAAATTGGGTGGGAAGCAGAGGTAGATCAGGTGAGGTAAGGATCTGACTGCCTAGCCTTTGGATTCTGGGGTAAGGAATTTCCGGGGGGGGGGCGTTCCCCCTTGTGCCCAAGTCATTCATCAAGGTATCGGGATGAATTTCAATTCTAGAATTGCGTACACCTTTAAATCAAGACTCAGCAATGATATGAGAGGCAACATAATTGCAAGCATGTTTGTCCTATGATTATGACGAATCCGGTCTCCCTAAAACATACTTCTACGCCACCCAGAAAAGAACTCGCCTGGGTGGCAGGAACCACATATATTATTCAGGGACGGCTGGAGTTTGTTTTCCGGCTTCGCATGTTCTTCCCGCCAGGAACGGTCGAAATGTGTTGCCTTTTAATTATTTCTAGGACAAACTTTTGCGAGAACACGCACGGGCTTTGTTCAGTTCTGGCTAGTACGCGGTTGGTGAAGGGACTAGAGACAGCTAGTGCTTGGCACGCCCCTGAATAAGATGAATCTTGGGGTGGGCCGGGAATCAGCTGGTGGAGTATTGGTTTAGAATAGGCGTAACTAGTTGAAATGCAGCATCGGGGCCTTTGTCCAGGAAGATAAGATTAATGGGGTGATCAATATTTCTAGTGGGAGCAGATGAGTTGAGTCACAATCAAAACCCGGGTAAGTGAAGGTTAAAGGCCAGAAATAGCTGTGGCCGCCTTCATAATTCTTTACATGGTGCTTGGTCGACCATGTTGATACCGGGTTTTGATTGTGACTCTGTTTGGTTTGTAGCGCAAACCCATTCCGAAAAAAGGTCTCTTGGCACGTATGATTCCAATGCGACTTGAAGGACAGCGGGTGTTCCAAATCACCGTAGCCTCCAAAACGGCATCGGGTCCCGTGTTTCCCTTTAGGCATCATCTCAGCTGATTGAGAGCATCCTCTCAAGCAAGGGATTTTTGGGATCTTCCCTTTGCTTAAGAATATTTGTTTTTTCCCTGCTAGGTTTAAAGGGAATCTATCGCAACTTGAAATATGTTATTCTTCCGGGGACTTAAGCACATGGAAGGGATGTATCCCGAGAGGAACCCTGTTCAAGCAACGGTGTGCTCACCAGGGGGAAACACTCGCGGGAATGGCCCGAGCATTGGATCGAGCGATGTTTACCAAACCCAGCCTGAGAACTGAGTTGTTTTCTTCTTTTTTTCGCACAGTGATAAAAATCGCAGCCCGGAGTTGTCTCAAAACTATGGACAAACTCCTGCACATATTTCACCCACTTCTCGAACCTGCACGAAATGGTAGAGATCTGGGCTTGGTGTCCTAGGGTTCCAAGCATCTTTGTGTAAAGCCTGTGCAAGTGAATCACCCACGAGGATCTGAAGCCTTGCGTAGCAGCTGGTTTTCGGATGAATCCTAGCCTGTGTCACCATCTGCCTTGTGTTTTACGCGTCCATAGTGATTGGTTTGTGCTTTGAAACATTCGTCCAAGCAAGAATTTCGGGGGTATAGGTACACGGGGGGGTGGTAGTTGAGAGGTCCTAGGGTTCCCTAGAGTTCCCTAGGGTTTGTTAGAGTTCCTTAGGGAGCTTTGGGGAACCCCCCCCTCTTGGACCCCTCCCCCCCTTAGGGATTCGAGTCCCTGAAAGAATCCCAAGGCGTGCTTTCCTGTCCGCCCAAAACCTTTGTTGGGTAGAACTTGTTCACAGACCATGAGCCTTTGCTTGGTGGTTCCCGGCCATCCCCTTAAAGCCTTAGTTTTTTAGACTTTGAGGGTTTACTAGGGGTTTCCGAATTTAACCCACTAAAAGTTAGCCACTTTTCGCAGTGGATCTGAAAACGGACAGCCCAGTTAACCATAAAAGCCTCTGTCAACCGGATTTTGGGCACGGCTCGATCGTGTTTGTTGGCTCCGAAGCGAAGGACGGCTGGGAACCCCTGCAGAAAACCACCATGTACCCTTCCACCAGCTAACATGGGCTGGTGCACAGACCCCTGTAGAACGGCTTTTTTTTGCACTTCCATGTTAGTTGGTGGGAGGGTACTGGTGTCTCACTTAATTTTATTGGTCTTAAAGGGTTGACTAAAAGCTTTGAACAGAATCTGAACATGCCTGCGACCCCAGATTCGCAGAGGTGGGCCAAGTTACTAAGCCAGAAGGGTCTTTCCAAGGATGTCTCCCCAGACTCACCCAGTGAACCACGGGGGCCTGAGGAGATGTTCAAGACGGAGGAGGGTATGGTTCCTTGCATGATGCGCATGAGCAAGGAGGACAGCCAGCCGCGTTCGAAGCTACCGTGGACGAAATCCAGTTCGCACCACCTGGACCTAAGAAACCATGGTTGAAACTATAACGTTTGTTGGTATTTACAGGGGAATCGCTTATCATTCCAGGACTTCTGAGGTGGTGCGAAATGGGATTTGTCCATCCACAGAATTTCAGAGGGGGCCTTCCGTGCCATTGTGTCTTTTTGTCTTTGAGTCTCTATGTCTTGTGTCTCTGTGCCTTTGTGCGTCTAAGCGTCTGTGTCACGTCTGTGTCTGTGTTTGTCTCCATGCCTCTGTGTCTCTGTGTCTGCCTGTCTGTTTTCTGTGTGGCTGGAGAGGCAAACATAGAGTCGCAGAGACGCAGACACAGAGACAAAGAGACGCACAGAGGCACACAAACGCTCAGATGCAGAAACCCAAACACAGAGACACCAAGACACAGACGCAGAAGCGCAGAAACAAACATGGAGACACTCTCTGCATTGTGTGTCTCTGTGTGCTCTTGTCTCTTGTCTCTTGTCTCTGTGTCTGTGTGTGTGTGTCTGTGTCTTTGTGTGTTCAGGTCGGTGTTTCTTCATCTCTGCGTCTCTGTGACTCTGTGTCTGCGTGGCCGTGTCTCTGTGTCTGTATCTCTGTCTCTGTGTCTGCCTTTCTGTTTCTCTGTGTGTTTGTTGTTTAGGGTATCCATGTTGGTGCCTTGTTTGTCCGGGACTTCAACAGGAAAGCCATTTTCCGACTCGCCACATTCTGAACCAAGCACTTCTTTCGGTTCCAGCTCAATGTCTCTTGTTAGTTTTAAACATGGGTTTGTCTGTTAGTTGTTTTTTCTTCTTCTTTTTTTTTTTTTGGGGGGGGGGGGGGGAATGGCTTCCCTGCAAAACCCTACAAAAAACAGACGGGTACCCTCCAAAAAAGAGAGACCCACATCACGCTCTTCGGGTTTTGGCTCTTGGGTTCCTCCGGGTAATGCGAAACCGGGTATCGAGATCTCACTTGATGAATCCGGGAAGTTCCAGTTCCCAGTTGGTGAGTGGGTTGCTTCCTTGTTCCTCTTTTTCTTGGGGAAGGGTTCCCCTTTAAACCCACCCAACAAAAAAGGGTGGCCAGTGGGCATCTGAGACGTTGGAGGTTTCCATAGAAATTCGATAGCCATGGGACCGCTACAGGACGGGCCGAAGTGGCTCTTGCGCGGCATCGGCAAAAACTGGGTTGCAGTGGCCGCTCCCATCGCCAGCACGATCTTCCTCACAGACAGGCCCTGCTCTTTTCTTTTTGCACTCGGGTGGCTTGGTCGTTTTCTGAGATGTGACTTGATTTTACACTTGAACCAGTATCAACTTGTTCGCCCACAGCCATCCCCTTGGCTTGTTAGTTGGTTTAGTGGTGGTTGCCATTTTAAAAGTTAGTCACTTTTAGCAGGGGGGATCAGAAAACGGGCAGCCAAACTTATGAATCTGATATTTCGGCCTGGGAAACTCGGCCGTGTTCCAAGAACCTTTGGAACGCCGGACCAACACATCGCCCGGAAGATGGTGGAAAAGATGGTCTCTGGATCTTTGTTCTTTGTTTTTGATCCTTGGGTTCAAGCAGCTTATTGCTTCGATGATTGAAGCAGCGAATCTGAGCCATAAGAGGTCCTTACGGGCCTAGTACTTAGTTGGTGGCTTGAGTTGGTTTGGATTTGGATTTGAGCTGGCTTTTGTGGAGGTGAAAACCCTGGCTCCAAGCCACCAACAGGGAACTTGATTTGGTCGTCCCCAGCACCTCTTTTGGCCCGGCTGCCTGTTTGGTCGGCTGCGTTGGTTGTACGTTTCCCCTGGTGTCCAATAGATACCGTACTCACTCCCTGAGTTCCTGGACTTTAGTCGCTTTTTGGGAAGACCATTTCAGTGGTAGACAGCCATTTTTGTCACTTTTGTCAGGCCTATCTCAGGAAGTGAGAGTAACATCAGTACTTGTTGAAGTACCAACTTTCGCCAAATTGTGGTGAATGTTAGCCCCGGATTAAGCAGAACCCCTGGTTGATTAATAGGGGGTGTCCCCTTTTAGTGGGGATTCAGACCACTTTTTGGAGGGATCACCCCCCTAATGGGACCGGGTCAACATTAACTTAGATGACCGGGTGATTCAGATGATGAGCTTGAGCTGAGAGAGTGGCCTTTCCTTTGGAGCCGTGGGGCCGTGGGGCCTTTGATCCGACCAAAAACTCCCATGGGATCGAAGAAAACTCAGCTCAAAATCTCCGAGCGCTTCCGGATCCGGGCGCGTCAGCGGCAAATCTACATCGTCAGTATGTCAGGGGGGGCGACTGGGGCCCGTGGGGTCGCCCGGAAAGCTGAGGTTGTGTTACATCCGGGAACCAGCGGAATCAAGATGATTTTGAATATGTTTAAGAAAGAACATATTTTGTTGAAGAAGAATAATTATACAATTTGAAGTATATTATAATTAATCAGTTTATTTTAAACATCTATAGGTTGATGGGTGCGTGGGCCTCTTTGTTTGTTAAGCAGCTGGCGCTATTTGGGACTATATATAAATTCCCTGGAACTATATATAAACTGTCTGGGCTGTATGAGGGACTATATAAAACCACAATGCATCATCAGTGATGGGGTGCATTTGTTCCAGAAATAGCCCTGCCAAATTCTTGTACTGAATCGAAGCACAGATGCCGTGTCAGAACGTGGGGGGGGGTTGAAGTGAGCGAAGCAGAGAAGAAATAGTCATTTGTCATTCATTCAAATGAACCAAACTCCAGAATATACAGCTCAGACTGACTCATGTCATCAACAATTTGGGCGACCAACCAAACCTTTATTATAAGTTTGTGTTTATTTAGTGGGGGGGTTGATGCGGGCATGGCCCAATGGCATTTCACATGACACGCACCGCGCGTAGGTTTTGCCGCCGCGTTGTTTTCAAGCTCCCCCGCTCGAACGTCCCCTGCCCCTGATAGGCTTTGCACCTACTTAGACCTGCGGCGTTTTGAAACCGCCTCAGGCCCTGCATCCTTGTCCCTTCGCCGCTTCTGCTTCGGCGCCTCCTCAGTCTCCGTGCTCTGCTTCTTGTCTTTCCTTGGCTGGCCAGCGCATCTCAGAATCCCCAAAAATAGCAAGACCAAACCAAATGAGCAACGTGCTGTGACATTAATGATGAAATGATGCTGAATGATGCTAGCCTTCAGCCTTCAGGCTTAGGCCTGAGACTTAGAGAAATCAAAACGTAAGAAAACCAATCACAATTTCAAAACAACAATGATCGCTTCGGGCTTCTCTCAACAATTGCAGCCTCAGCTTTGGTTATGATGGATTGGGTCGGGTCACCGGCTCAACAAAATAATGAACAACGACGACTCCCTTGCAATGACTCTGACAAGACAACTGACAAAACAACAGCACCTTGAAAATGAATAGTGAGTTCTAGCTTCTTTCCGATCTGCTCGAATCTCGCCCGCAGCCCTGCCGGCAGATCCTTCGGGCTCATGCCGAACTTCTGCGTCAGAAATGCCCCAACCTTCCGGGCAGCACCAAGCTGCTTCTCCGCGGGCTCTGCCTCATTCTCCAAGATCATGGCCGCCACCGTCATGCTTGCCACGGCAGTGGCAATCTCGCTGCGATGGGCCTGTCATGTCTTAAACCGCAAAGCAAAACTGGCAAAATGAAAAATGTTTGTAGGTAACAAATAGCAAATCAGCAAATCTTAAACATCACGTCAGCAGCTTGCTTTCCAGCGCAAAAAGGAACCGTCTACCAAAAGCATCAAACACCCATGAGCCTCCAGCTTCTGCACCTCAACAACCTCGCAGAACATGTCGTCCTGCTTCATGGCCGGGCGCTTGAGGGCCGTCACTGTCTGGGCAAAGTTGTGGATCTGCTGCGTGCTGTCCCAAAAAGCCACCATCTCCACGGTGTCGGCGTCTACCGCTTTGTCGCCTGCCAGCATCCACCGGACATTGTCCATCTGCCACACGTCAGCCGCACTGACAACTGACCTGCGTGGGGCTGTTGCTCGCATATACTGCGCGCTCTGCGCCGACTAAGACTCAGACTGCAAAGGTTTGGGGGAGGGGGGATTAAAACCTAAGCTTGTCCTCACTGGCACTCCTGACTTTCCAGATGATCACAATGACCAGCTGACGAACAGTACAGCAAACAGCAACCAGTAACCAGTCATCAACGGTCGCAAATTTTCCTGCAGCCGCCAGCCTGTACTTGTCGAGCTTCTCCGCTGCCGCCTTCATCTTCTTCTTGCAGTCCCTTAAGTGGCTGAGCACATTGTTCGCAATGGCTGAGCAATACTCCTCCACCTTGGCCACGTGGTCTGGCATCAAGAAATCCATCGCCTCCAAGTCCAAGCTCCTGGTGGTGATGTATCCCCTGATGCGCTTTGACAGCTCGCTCAGATCCTGAGTGTTTTCAGGCGTCTTCAGCTCCTGGAGAAACGAAGCCTGCGCCAGGATGGGCTTGAAGTGACGCAAGCCTTCGCTCAAGCAGTTGCACGAGTTGATGTAGGCATACGCATCTTTGGGGCCTTTGTCTGTCAGCGCAGTCTTGATCCACTGGCGCCCTTGTTCGCCAAAGGCCTCGTCAAACCTGTCCTTTGCTGCCGCCAAGCCTCGGGCCCATGGCTGCTGGCTGATGTTGTGAGGCAACCCCTCCAACTTCCCAACCACTTTCTGCAAGGAATTCTGCAGCATGCAAAAAGGCTGAATCTCTTCAGCAGTTTGCGTCTTGCTGTACTCGTACAAGGCCTTGGCCACATCGCCCAGAAGCAAAGCAGCAGAAGCCATGTCCGGCTCCTTCACCGATCGCACAACAAGACCTCGAAGCGTGCCTGCAGGGCACTTTTCCTGTATGGAATGGTATGCTGTGGTTCAACAAACATCGGAAATCAACCAGTCGTGGTCACCAGCAGTGCATGTGCCATGAAAATGCAACACAACAGTACAACACAAGCAACAAACAAACAACAACCTGCCGACAGGCAATCCGGGCCTACCACCGCAAACTCTCTCAAGCATTTCCGCGTGTCCAGCTGATCGTCAATGTCCGGGCAAAAGCTCGGGACAAAGGCAGGAAGCTGGAGCTCAGGCTCTGCATCTTGCCAGAAACTCTCGACCATCTTGCCGACCTCCACCAGGCCAGGATACTCTCTCAGCGCGTCCTCCATCTTCTTGTGGTAGTCGTGCATCATGGTCGCCATCTCCTTTTCGTCTGTCCCCTCACCTGCGGACTCACAAGCTGCAAGCAGCTCTGGAAACCTCCGGCACACCAGACTCTGCCGCATGATCTCGTCGAAAATTTGGTCGGTTGGCGTCAGGCTATGCTGAGTCACCAGCATCCGCAGGCTGTTCATCTTCTCCAACACCTCCTCCGAATTCTTGATGAGGTTCGCCTGCGAGATCACCTCCTTGGACATGTCCAGCACCCGAAGCCATAGAATCCTGCGGCCACACGACGCAGCTAGTTGGTTTGAAGCATACAGTACACCGTGCGCTAACTGAGCAACACACGGACAGCATCAAAATTGAAATGGAATTTGACATAGCATAGTAAGGCTTAGGTTTCAACCTTTGTCACTGAATCGTCTCCTTAGCCGCGCGTGGGATCGAAACAGCAAGTTCACACGTGGCGAGGTCGAAGAACTCAAGTCCGCGATGGCCTTCAACTCCTCAGCCGGACTCGTGTGGGCCGCCTGCTCTGGCAAAACCATCTGCGCCGCCGCCAAAAACTTGTGCAAATCAACAACGACCCGCGGAACTAGTCCGCTTTGCACGTTCTCGGCCAGGGCGGTGCTGGTGGGGTTCTTTGCACAGGTCCTCGTGTCACTGACCGACAATCATCGATGACTTGGCATTGCGCCCAGTGTAGGCAGCCAGTAAGTATGGTACGGTGTGTGTGTGTGTGTAACTGTACTGCTGTATGTATGTCATGTGACGTGTGATATGCGTGAATCATGAAGAAATAAATGAAAGACTCAGACACACGAGGAAAGTCAGTGGCAATCAATGGTTCATCCCAAATCAAAATCCGTCTCGAATCTGGCAACTTTCCGACTCCAAGAGTGGCCGGACTCTCGCAAAGTTCTTAACCGTTGTCAACTGTGAACACATTGGATTTGGATAGAACTAACGGTTTCGCCCTGCCTGGCAAACTCCGGGCTCCAGAGTTTGTTGGGGATCGCCGCGAGAGCCACGTCAAGGGCATCCTCCGCCATTACCTTGAGCGTGTCCAGCCAGGCGACAAACAGGCT